AATACTGGCCCAGGTAAATATGTTTTATTCCTTTTACAACAAGGGATAACAAAATTTTTTGGAATAGTTGCTTTTTTGTCCTATTCTGTTTTATCTTTTTGTTCATTTTTTATTCTTTCTCGCGATAAAACAAGTTTTTCACTCTGAACAAAGACATTAGAAGCCTAAGCTATGCCTGTTATTTTTACGAAAAAAATTATCGATACGAATTTTACGAAACTGATATATGCTCGCAGATAAAAAGAAATGTTCTTTGTCCGAATTGATTATACATCTAGACATCAAATCGATATTCAGCGCACGAATAAAACGTCAGGGTGTAGAACGCTTATCTTATTCATATTTTGAAGGATGCATCGATTCACATTTATTATTGTAAATAATTTTTAGCGATAAAACTCGGAAATAACTGGAATACACAAATTTAGATTTTGTGAAATTTGAACGAACTTCAAGTCAACTTTAGAGCCAAATTTTGAACAAAAAGCCAGATTTTATTACACATGAAGGGTCCCACCCCATCGTGTGCTAACGAAAAATAAAAAATGTTAATGGGCAGCATTGCAGAGACAGATACCAAATTAATTATTTTCAGTCAAACTTTTATTTTAGGCGTTTCGAAAAAAAACATTCCCCTAATTACACCCAAAAAATGGGTCGCAAAATGACCTCAACAATGCATGAACCTTTTGTAAAATGTATTTGTTATCCTTTGCCATGGCAGGGAGAGTAAGTATTCAGACGAAATAACTCGTTACACTTAATGGTTAGAGAAGAATCCTGTGCGAATATTCCAAGGCTTAGTTATGTCAATAACGATAATATTCAGGTAAAAAAAATTGCCTCAATAAACTATAAAGTAGTACTAAGACTATAAAAAAGACATTACTGTAGGGAAATCTCACCTTGTACTTCTGGTATTAGGGTAGCCAAAATGGTGAGGACGAGGCAGTAGGATACAAAGAGTTTGCTCTCAGAAAAAAAAACCCGTTATATTTCTGGCGAACAGCGACCGCGATATTTTCAACTTTCAGGGAAATATCAGGCAAATTGAGACAGTTGAGGTTTTATCTGCGCTCAAAACACGTCACCCTCTTCATCAAATTTTAAGTGTCTCAGCGATTGTCACAACGGAATTAGATCCTCTTGGATGTGGTTGGTTGGTGAAACTCGATTGTACTTAATGCATATCAATGGCCCCCATTTTCAATTCATAGAGGAAGATTTCCTCTATGTGTTTTTTCAATTCTGGTGTCATTATCCTTTCATTCATAACGTTGAGAAAATATCGTGACCCAAAGACAAAAACCACTAAGTTTCAATCTTCGTGTAGCATCATGATAAGCTGTCTACAAAATCGGGGAATGGATGGCTATATGCTAAAGACTTTACATACTGAGTTAATAAGACTTTGTGCAGTCTCAACAAAAACTGTTATTGACATTCCAGACTGCCCCTAGAGGTATGGAATACTGAGGAATACAACTATGTGTTGAAGTTTATCCAAGACACAATTTCGAGTTCACCTGGCTGTTAGTAGGCTACATTTGAGGCTACATTACCCACAATTCCTCCATTCGCTCTGACGAAGGGTTAACGCCAAAAGCGTTAGATTTGAATTCTTCTTCTTTACGGGAGCCAACTCACATTATCGACTCAAAGCAATGATAATAAAGATTTTAAAAATATTTTGATTTTAGAAAGATTTTAATTTCATATTTGAACTACCCAAAATTACATATTTTCATGATGCCAACAAGGCAGAACTTTCAAAAGTTCCTATTGATTGCAGGCACATCCCAATTTTCTGGGCACAACTGGAGTTTACAACCCGCTGGCCCGCTTTTAAGGCTATTCAAGTAATGTCCATGTGAGTCATATGTGAGTCTCAGGGCGAGGCCTCAATATAGCTTCAAATCAAATGGTTCAACGTTGAGAGAGTCAAGTGACAGCATGATAAACTTTCACAGTCAGTTGCAAACCAGTCTTAAATATGTCATAATTGAAATATTGTTGCGACTGTAAATTAATTATTATGTGGATTTACATAGCTAACATAGCGAAAGGCTTGGGTCAGCGGACTTAACCGCGTACAAGGTAAATACGTGATGTATGGGGAATTTATGTCCCCAATACATATTATGTCCTATACCCTACTTTACATATGTCCTCTACTTTACATATAATAAATCCCCATGTATGACATACCTGGAGCGTGTAAAGATTATTTTATATAAATGAGTGACAGTTGGTATTTTGTTGTAAATACACAGGAATATGAAGAACTGACTTCGCAACAGTTTCTCTTCAAAATAGTTCCTATAGTCCTATTTCCCCAGATGTTAGTCGATGAATAACTACAAGCGACGAAATTTTCCAGCTTAAGTCTAGAGAATCTTGGCAACTGTATTTACAATATGCAAACCTATAAGGAAAAGTAATTCGTGGCTAAAAAGGCCCGTACCCTTGAAACACATTACGCCGACAATGAGGGATCTTTACCAAAATAGTGGGTATTTAATTTGGACGAATCGAAGGAGGCACCGGGTGGACTCTCCCCACTCCCTAAAAATGATTCTTTTGCCTTTTATAACTTTGCGTAGACTGGGGCACTGCTCTCTCGCCCACTCTTCCTCAATTTTCCGGATTCTTACTCGCTTAGATTTTATCAAAGGCTTTAAAACATCGAGTCAGTACAAGAGATTATAATCTCTAGATCAGTAGCAATCCTTTTGCTGAAATGAATCTCTGGGATCCGGAGCGTTTAGCTGCATTATGACTCAATAGTGGTTGTGTTCTTTGCTATCTTATCGCAATGTGCGGAGATTTCGCTATGTATTGAAGTGCAACAAATCCTTGAGTTGATCCTAGAAACTTAATCATCAGTACTAAAACTTCATCTTCCGCATTAAACTTTGGGATGACCACCACTAAAATTCTATGTCGCTATTATAAAACATTCATTTTGCTTATTTGTTTCATTGTTAAAAGATCCACTTATATTTTTGAAATTTGTTTCAAAATATACCACTGGATACTGCATCGCGCAAAATGCCTGTTGTTCTCGCGACATTTACTTACAGTAGCTTAAAAATTATAGATCTGTAATATTAGCAGCAACGAGTTATCTGGAGAGCTTTGATTGGTCAAAGATTACGCGGGCTTTCCTCCTCAGGGAATATTGCTTTAGCTCATTAACTGTTCAAGGCGAAATGGTGAGTTATAAAGGAAGCCTTTGTTGAGACGTCAGCGTTAAAACTCTGTTTAACAGCATCTCTTTAATACTTCGCAATTAGCAATTCCGTTGGTCGCAAACTTCTTCATTAGCTACAATAATCTACGCAAGTTACGCTACCTCGTCTTGATCCTTTTGCCATGTAATATCTGTCTTTGTCTTTGACAAAGTCCTCAGGTCTGGCCTCTTTGGTCCGGCTGTTTAACTCACATATTGCAGTTAACATGACGACGTTATAGCTTTGACATCAGCGAGACAAGCCTCTCGGCATTCCAGTGTGGCTGGTTGAAACGTGAATGTCTTAAACGTGTGGCCCTTGAGCATCATTTGATAGATGGAGTAAAGGTCACCGTCGGCTCCACACTGCTGGCTGGTAATGTTATGTAGCAGTTGAGAAAGCAGAAACAGCACGATGAAGAATGAATTGCGTCGACCAGCCATTTGAAGCATTTCAGATTTCTGACACCCACTAAACTGTAGTAAGTTGAATACTAAGTGCTTGTCAGGGAATACACGTGAACTGACAATTAAACACTAGAATAATATTATTTGGTCTTTTTCTTGTTCTTGTTAAACGATCATTTATTGGAGATCAATGAATAGACCTTTGCGATCAATCATTAGCAAGAGATAGTCTCAAACAATAGACTGCAGAGCGCTTTTTGGAATTTTTAATTAAGTGACGCAGACGAAAGATTTTAAGTGATCACCAGGGAAAAGAATCATCTGGCTGTTGAACACATTTCAAAAACATAGGTGTTAAATTAAAGCTCGCTTTTTTCTTGGTTTTAATGATGAAGATTTTCTAATTACGGTTGAATAAGTCAGTTCATTGACCATCAACTTCTACAGTACCTTTTAATTAATATCATAGACGAAGAACGTTCCCCTTAACTTCAAAAACAGTCACTTGTCGTTTATTTTTCGAAAAATATCATTAATTTTTTTGGCATTAAAAATGTTTGCAGTTCTTTTATAAAGAATTCATTAAGAAGTTATGTTAATGCTAGCCCTCTACTCGTGAATGTATCCAACGCACGTTTATTTGAACTGGACACTTGCCTTCGACTGTGGGCTCAATCCTAAAAACTTTAACTTTGTGAACTTTTTACTTGTGAGCTGAATTCATCACAAAGATATATAAAACTCATCAGAATTTCTCCAATTTTGAAAACAATATTTCACCGCAAAGAGAACAGATCATTTACATCTTCGTATGCAAAGTAACGGTGTCCTCATGGTAACCAGCTTATAACAACATGGTGGTTCAAGTGACTATTCCGAGGTGCTCTCATTGTAATGATATCTTTAAAGTTTAATTAAACCATTTTAGACGAAAAAGAAGTCGTAATGTGCTTGATAACATGTAGTTGATCATCGCAGACCATACTCTTGAAACGCGCATATGAAAAGTTTTTAAGAAAGTGTTCTCATTGGTCGCTCAATGTGTTTAGATGAGAGTATGTAAAATAAAAGTGATGAAAAATTTTCCCGTGTTTACACAGCCTCTACATAACACTCGAGAGTTACGAAAACCTTCGACTACGTAGACACAACCTGAGAAGCAGCCAGCGATAGTCTCGATCTTCTATACGCGATCCGATTTCTTTCTCTCCTCCTTTACTTTTATCTTTTCCTCTCATTTTGTACACTCATTTCCAAGCCTGAAGCTTTCCACCCATTCCCTCAAGGTCAAGAGTCGAAGTTAGGTCAAGGTTAGGATTCACTATACCCAGTTCCCATCCTCTTGTATCACGCAGGGTAGTATGGGTAATTACCAACATGGCTGAAGAAACAGGTGTTGTCTGCATGATTCTTGTACGGTTAAATTGATCCCCTAAAGCTCTGCGTGGATATGTTTAAAACCAATGGGAGACATCTTAGAATGGCGAGGAGATGCATACCAAGTTCTTGCATGTTGTGGAGTTTTCATTTTACTTTCTTGGGTACTAACAAAATTGTTAGGTCTGACTTGGAAGAGAGGATTACGAGTGGGAGACCCTCAGAAGGGCCATCGATGGTTTATGACAGAAATACTTGACAAGCCCACGTATTGTAACTTCTGCGAGCGTCCTCTTGTAAGAGGCGGTTATTGTGAAAACTGTGGGATCTCAGTTCACGAAGAATGCATCGACGGAGCAACCAAGAGATTTGCTTGCAAAGTCCTCGTACTTTCGAAGAGAGAATACATGAACCACCAATGGGTTCGTGGGAATCTACCTCTATGTAGCACTTGTAGTGTCTGCGGTTTTCATTGTGGTACTGAACCGAGATTATGCGATCTCAGATGTGTATGGTGTCAGGATAAAACACATGATTACTGCCTTCGAAGCAAGTCAAATATGTGTGATTTTGGAAAGTATAAGACTATGATGTTACCTCCACATTGCATTAGTTTGACTGTGGAAAATTGGAGAAGTAAAAAGAGATTTGTGGTTCGAGAAGTCAGCACACCGCCCATCAAAAATTGGAGTCCACTGCTTGTGTTTGCTAATCGTAAGAGTGGGGACAATGAAGGTGAAAGATTATTAATGGCGTTTAAAAATCTTTTAAACCCAGTACAGGTAAGTGCGAGTGGTATCATTCAAGAATTGGAAGTGATCTCCAAACAGTTGATAGAGAAATGTAATGATTCAAATTTTTCTCTTGATTCAATTTTTGTTTCCATTTGAATTTTTTTATTTTTTCCCTGTAATTGTTAATTTCTCATAATTTGAAACAAAGGAAATAAAAATCATATCAGTTGGCATATATTTTTTTTTAGCACCAAGCTAAATGTCTGCACATTTAGAGCTACATGTCAACTTGACAGAATCCTTGTTTATGCCATGCCATAGCTTGTATTTGGTGATTTTCCAATAAGGCAATGCACTTATATAAGTTAAGAGGGAGAATGTTCACTTTCTACGACATGAAGCCACTATGAGTTTTGCTACTACTCCATGGATACGAAGATAGCTAATTGCCAGGTAGCAATTTGCTAGCATTCATTTATGATAATGATGCATAAGCAGTCGCTTTTGACAGAACTCCTTTCTCTCTGGTGTCTACTAATGATCACCAGAGTGCTTTCTGTGATGGCTGATCAAGACTATTGGAGGATGGCAGACTCTTTCCTAACCTTTCAGTACAGATGTTAGTCAGTGTTTGAACCTGCTCTGGAGTCTAACTTGCAATCCATTCTTCCATCACAAGTCCCTTATCAGCAAATTTAAACAGCTGCTGAATGTCTGCCTAACAGCGAATGTTTGCCTAACAGCAAATTTAAACAGCTGCTGAATGTTTAATGATATTTTCAGGTAGTAGACCTTCATGAGGTTCCTCCTGAATCTGCATTAGAATTTTGTAAGCTTCTGCCAAACCACAGAACTCGTATACTGGTGTGTGGAGGGGATGGCAGTGTTGGATGGGTTCTTGGTGCTTTGGATAAAGTCAAGTTAAAGGTCAGTCAGGTTATGGTTGCACCAATAACTGAAAATAATCAATACATGTTGTAGTCAAAGCTCTTCTAAGGGATAAAACTAGGCACAGAGCTTTGTTTTCACAGTTTTATCTTTATGGTTTGAAGTATTATTTGTTAACTGTTCTCAAAATTATAGGGTGACAGGTATGAAATATTTTAGTCAATCTATATTAACCTCTTTGCTGTTTCTTAAGTTTGATCTTTAGATTGACTTGCACAGTAACTGGCTGTCTATTGGTAGGCCAGTGGCCAGATCTTATTTACAACTCTGAAAATGGTTTCTGCATATATTATCCATTTTCATAAATTGCAGGCTTATATTGTACCACATTTTTTTTGTGTTGAATCAATGATTGATGTATACAGTATTCTTTTGGTGCAGTCTTCATGCACTAATCTCTTCATGCTGTGAACTTCTACTAAGCAACTTTAATTTTCATCACTCAATACATGTAAATGAATAACTGTGTTAACACAGAATTTTGTCTACATCATGTGCCTGGACACCAAGTGCAACACAGGAGAAAAATGATATTGAATTGAAAAAGAAAACAATGAAAAAATTAAGATTGTTAGCTAAAAAAACTTGCCATGTACAATTTTTTTTCAAGAAACTTATACTCTATTTTCTTTGTTACTAGGTGCCACCATACATTGGAATTCTTCCTCTAGGTACTGGGAATGACCTGGCACGAGTTCTGGGATGGGGGAGTGGTTACACTGGTGAGGAAGATGTTAATGAAGTTTTGACATCTGTAATGACGGCTAATGTCACTCCTTTGGACAGGTATGGAATACAAGGCATGGATGAGAGCAGCATTAATTAAGAATTTTAATTGTAAATATTGATTTTTACCAACTAGACTTTTTTTTGTATTCTAATATTCTACCCTTCTGTTTATAGATGGAAAATAACTATTGAGAGTAACCGACGGTACTTTGATGTAAGGCGGCGTAAGAAGGTAATACCAGATTCTAAGCCATTCATATGTATCTCCTGAATTTATTCTGTGAATGGTTCACTGTGTGCTCCTTTCAAGTCAGACAGTTTGTTAACTAAGTTTTATTTTTATTTGAAAATTCATTTTTATCATGTGTGGTTTGAGAGACAGTCCATATTGCACAATGAGAAATATCGTGAGTCTTGGCTATTTCCTTCCACTCTTTCATTAGGTGTTTTGGATGAATAATTACTTTTCTATTGGCTGCGATGCCAAAGTAGTTCTGAATTTCCACCTTCATCGTGAGAGTCAGCCATCTTTGTTTACCAGTCGCATTATTAATAAGGTAAATACTGATTTTTTTCCAGTTTTGTTTTCTTTTGTTTTACTCTAAGTTGGATTGCACAGACTAAGCCTTACTGAACTCATTACTACATTGTTTTGGTTACTTGGCATTATACAGGTATCTACTTTTTTTTTCTTTCTCTTCAGGCAGTGTATGGATTGTATGGTGCCAGAGATGTCCTCGAACAAGACTGCAAAAACCTACATGAAGTTGTTGAGGTATGAAAGGGACGATTGTCTTGTATTCAGACCAAATCTAGCTCAGATTGCATTTACTTAAAGTTAATACCATGCCCTTTAACTTTTCAACATTACTTATTTTCAGCTGGAAATGGATGGAAGAAAAATGGAACTGCCAGAGCTGGAGGGAATTGTTTTTCTGAACATTAACAGTTGGTGTGGAGGCTGTGAATTGTGGGTTAATGGTGATGAGGAACACTCCTCACCACCAAGGTCAGTTTATTGTAACTGCTCAATAAAATTGAACACCATTTCTTTTAACATGAAATTCAACATAAAAGTCCTGAGAGATTTACAAAATAAAAAAAAATTCAAAACAAAAGTACTGCTAGTTGGGGTCACAGCTGTGACCTTTAAAAGGAGAGGTCATCAGAAGGAACTTAAACATTAAACTTTAGAATGTTTTTAAATAGGAAAAGAAAGAAAGTTAGATGAGAGCAAATTTTTGCCTCTGCAAAAGAACTTTGCCCCCTGAAAATGGCATTCAAATGCTTACTGGTTTGAGTTAGTGTGAGGAGATGAGTGACAATTACATATGTTAGAAGCAGTACGCCTGGAGTCATTTTGTACGAGACCTGTTGTTAGTAGTGACTTGTTACCAACTGTATAACATGATCCATTCCTTATCCATGAACAATATAAATTTAAGAAAGCAACAAAGTACAGGTAACTGGTAATTCTGTTTATAGGAAAGATCTATTTTATTCTTTTGGCAGCATTAATGATGGAATCCTGGAGGTAACAGGGCTTTATTCCGCTCTTCACATTGCAAGGTTACAAGTCAATATGGCTGATCCACTACGGCTTGGTCAAGCACGATCAATAAAAGTAAGTACTGGAGACCAAAGGTTTTCTGTGCACCAGTCTTCTTTTGTTTGCTGAATATAATCGAGGGAACAGTAACTCTGGTTAGATGATGTTACAATAATATTTATTTATATAAAACAATAGTTTTAGTTGATTTTAGATTAATCTGCCAATTAAAAATAATGAAATCCTTTTTATCACTTCATCTGGGATGGTATTCATTGGAATGTTACTGGTAGAGTGAAAAATCAAGAAATAAGGCACTACTTTATGATAAAAAACCAAAAACATGATGCCAGTGACTTCAACATTATTATGTGGCAGTTGGGACTGTAAAGTAGAATATTAATCCGACAATTGGGAAGGTTATATTTTAATTCTTTTACTCCAAGGACTGGTTAAAATTTGACTTCTCTTGTGAAAAAAGGGAACTTATGACTTAAGATGGAAGGTTTTGTCGTGATATAAATGAATCAATAAACTAAATGATCAGTTGTATCCCAGTTTACATTCTTTGATCTCAGCCAGTGCATTTTGATCTCTTCTTGACAGCTTACACTGAAGGACACCAGGTCTCTCCCGGTTCAAGTAGATGGGGAACCCTGGGAAGAAGGCCCGTGTGTGATTACAATTACTCATCATAACCAAGCCCTCATGCTGGCAAAAGGAGAGAAACAGGACTTGATATTATGATTGACCTAAGTGCCTTCGCTATGACGGTTGGAGCTGTAAGAAGATATGCAAGGCATTACAGAACTCAGGAAAAGAAGAAAGAATTCAACCTTTATGATACAGTTGGCTTATAGCTTATTATACCCAGGAGTATAGCGAGGATATTCCGGTTGGAAACTCTTACACCGGCGTCTTACAGTAGAATAAAGAGCATCTTTATGAGGGGACGTCAGACAGGGGCAAGCGAGTCGTTGGTTGGGATGTTCGATTTTATTTAACTTATTTTTCGTTTTAATTTGTAAAGATAGTTTGTTTCCCGAACGTTCACGTAGTGCCCTATTGTTGTTTTTGCTTCAGAAATATAAATTTCCTTCATTTTGAAGTCGTTTTCATCAGCAAATCCTTTACCGCCATTGTAAAGCTTTCACACCCGTAGTTAATGTAAACCTTTGATGCAGACCTCTGGAAAAATTGATTTCTGTTCGAGTAATCAAAACCGTGAATTAAAAATCCCTTTATTAGCCTTGAGAGTCAGAGAGTTTATTACTTCTTGAATCTTAGCCCTGAAAATTCTCCATACAGTATCTGTGCTGAAGGGTAAACAGAGGAAGAAAATGTCCACCCGCTCAAGACTCTCTTGATCGTTAAACAACTTCTCCTTGTCAATACCACAAGAGGTGAATATTAGGGAGAATATGCCTACTGATGTCCAAGTGTAACTTGGTGATAACATAGTGGTTAACATGATGATTGTACGCTGTGTAAGAAAGTACAACTGTTATTGACTGCAAGGAAGCATTCCATGGAAGAGTCTCATTACTGCTTATAAGCATTTCAGGGTTTCATCATTGTTGATAATTGAATTATAACTTCTTATTAAAATGGTTACATGATTATACTGTTCTTAAACCTGAAATCTTTAAATTAGATGTAATTGATTATAAAGTGTTCTAAAACGTTGTTTTGGTATAAAGCTAACCATACTTTAAATCGCTTACAACAAAATTAGAGTCTAATCAATTCATTGGTCGCGACTTGCCGACTGTCGTGGCATAACCCCTTCGCTGGGACGAATTACTCCTGGGATATATCATAACCCTCCCCTGGGATATATCATAACCCTCCCCTGGGATATATCATAACCCTCCCCTGGGATATATCATAACCCTCCCCTGGGATATATCATAACCCTCCCCTGGGATGAATTATTCTTTGGATAAATTCGCAATAAAAAGTTCAAAACCTGGCTAAGGGAGATCTGAAAAGCCCTGTGCTTCTCTGGTGAAGTGTTCCAGCGAGCTAATTTAATGCTCTTGGGTAGTGCCGGAAGGAGCGAAACGACTCTTCTCGATTGTTAGGAAAAACGGCTGTCCCTACAATCCAGCCATTTTCGGCCCGCCTCTGACTGAGAGCCTGTCGCAGACGATTCTCCCGCGCATAATAGAGTCAGTCGTAAAAGACTGGTAGTGTGGCGTCGGGATTCGAGCTTTTTAATTAATTTTTTCAAACAATGTACCGTAGAACTTCACACAACGCGCGATGTACAGTTTCATTGTTATATGCTGACTAAATTTGATTTTCAATGGTGAAGGGTTAAAGATGAGATTAGTTGAATACCTTGTCAAACTTGTAGGAAGTCATAATTAACGGATTAATCCACCTTAGACAATAAATAACAAGACAAATCACCATGGGCTTTTGCTATTGAACGAGTGTACCAATATTGTCGGCTTGTTAGCGACAACGTAAATTAGTTTAGTCCAGCGGCAAGGAAAAGAGGGGTTGCACTGGTAAAGTGAATAGATACACAGGAACATCTTTGGCTAAAGCTTTTCATTCTTTACAATGTGAAGGTTTGTAACTTCGTATTTTTTCGGGAAAGGGGTGCAAATAAGATAAGTGTATGATTATATACAGTGTAGATATTCAACGTTCACTTGTCGCCAGGTGTTCGACTACAAGCTGTTCGTTATTAACTATTTTTTACTCATTTCTCATGAACAGTCGATACAAGACGACAGTTGAGGAAAGATTTAGCGGCGCAAACTTAAACAAGACCAGTATCTTAAAGATTTTAAAATTTAACCAGTTTTGGAGAGGATTGGGCCAAAATGCGACATAGCAACTTAGTTTATAAGAATGGGTGCGATGTTGTTAAATCAAGAGCTTTTCAGAAATCCAGAAGTTATTTTGTCAAAATTTTGGATTAGCACTTTAATCTGGATTCATTAAACCAACAAAAAAAGTAAACATCCAGCTAATATCTTATAACTGTCAGTTTGATTTGTTGATTTATTCCCGCGGAAATACCTTCCGTTGCTACATGTATATACATAAATACACCCTAGCTACAACCATTTGGGGTTCCACACCATTTTCAAGCTTTGAAAAAAGCTAATACTGTATCATTTTGAATCCATTGATGTTTTTCTTGCTAATTGGTAGGATGGGGAGAGAAAAATTTTTGTCACTCAAAGGCGTTAAAACGTGCCATGTAATGCCGGTGAGAACGTTTTCTTTTCAGCTTTTAACTTAATGGTTTCTTTATAATTTTTCATGAATTTGTGCCACTCAAGGGTAAGGATGAATTTGCGCCATGTGTATAAAGATATGACACTCAACTTCCCAGCAGAGCAGAGTTTATCAGTTTCCAAAATTCTTTTCCGGAGGATTGATTTAGCCTCTTTAAAAGTTGGTTTTAAGCAAATTTGTTTTTTGACGATCGTTGCAATTGATAAACTGAACGAACTCTTTGCTGGCGACAATCAAACGAATTGAAATGTGCAAATGAATACCAACAACTGAAGATCGCAACGGAACGAAAACTTCGACGAACTCGTAACAACATCAATAACAACAACAAGCAGAGGGAAATTTGACAAAATTTGTCAAAAGCGTTAAGTTTCTCAATCTCCCCTTCCGTCTTCAAACGGTTCTCTTTGAAATCATTACACAGAGCCACGATTGTCTTTAGGTAAAGACATTCTCATATTCAATTTCTGATATGATCACCTGTACGTACACTACTTACAACAAAGCCGAGACAGAGAGCAATTAATAACGTCAAAAAGCAACTCAAATTATTAAAGTGGTCTAGAAAACATCAGTAAAACTGTTTGCAATTCTTACTTCTATATTAAAAATTCCTAGTCACTGATATTAAAAAAAAAAATTCAATGACCAAAGCGATAATTTCATTCATTCCTTGGGGTTAAGTTGTTCATTCAAAAGACAATTTTAAAGACGACAATCGAAACAATAAAAACAAAAGGGGATTATTGGGATTGGAACGCAAATGGTTCTCGCATAAACCAATTATGACATTTTTGTATTGACCGAGACATGTTTCAGCCATTGAAATTAATTTATCGCAGTGTGAAACTAGATTCCATAGTACTTTGACCTCTGTGGGATGCAAAAATGTTGCTTTTGTGCTGGGAACCATCAAGAAGATTGTCGTTTGTAGACTGAAAGTGCGTCTATGCAAGGTACGTTAGTCTTATCTCATTTGGTTTTCTAAAGTTTATTAGTTTAACTTATATTATGTGCAAATGTTCATTCAATGAGCGGTTGTTTACAACTTTAAAATTAGAGGACGAAAGTAACTTCTGCCCAAAGTTCATGACGCAAAATATCCAGAAAAATCGACTAAGCTGAACAAATTATTCATAAAATAGTTTTGCCAAGACGATAAAAGCGAAAAACTATTTCTTTAAGGATTGCAAGCGTCTCAAATGTGATTACAAACTACTGAAATACTGGTAGAAATTAATGTATGTGTTTATCCTGTTTAACTGACAAGATAACCAGTTTATCTGACAAGATAACCAGTTTATCTTGGGACGAGCAGGTAATTTAGTGTTAACAACTGGGTTGAAAACGTAAATTAGCCACCGTAAAGGGTAAAAAAGCTGACGTTTCGAGCGTTAGCCCTTCGTCAGAGCGATTGAATCGATTCAATCGCTCTGACGAAGGGCTAATGCTCGAAACGTCAGCTTTTTTACCCTTTACGATGGCTAATTTACGTTTTCAACCCAGTTGTTAACACTAAATTACCTGCTATACTCTCCCACCGACGCAGCACCACAGTTTCTATAGAAACTCACCCCTTTATCTTGGGACGAGTTTGAAAGATATAAGCATGAGCAAAATGTGGCTTGCACATGCAAGAAAAATCTCTTTAGGAATGAATATCTAAGGTCACTTAGTGGTCACCGAGGCCGATCAAAACTTCACCTGCATTTGAAAAGGGATATATAAACGATTTAACTAAGCTTTTGCCTAAAATAGCATCTTTGTTACTACTGTACTAATGGCGAGTTTATCACATAGAACGAGCGTTTCGGGAATCCGGGCTGTGAAGTAGAGAGACAACCTTCTCGAAATTATGCGCATACAAGTATTTAGTACCTCAAGACGATTTGACGTGTGCAAATCACTAAATTCTAACGGTATAATTCAAACTAGAATTCAGACGGCTATTTACATAATAAGCTATAATTAGAAAAAATACAAGGTGGTTTAGAAAAGCGAAGTGTTTCTTTCGGTTCTTTTTTTTTGGCACCAAGCTTCTACAATGCATACTCGTCCTTATCACCAGGGTCTCTCTTCTTCATGTTCTCAGAGAGCCTGGGGTCTTGGTTCTGATGAGCTTCCTTTTTTTGTTCGGTCGTTTGCCGCGAAACTCATACATTTGCTCGTTTTTAAATTTAGCGTTGAGTACACTTGACGAAATCGATGAAGAGAAAACTATTTTAGCCGTGTTGGAAAACAGAATGGAATAGAATACCCAGTTCTAGTAACCCGACCCAAAGTTCACTATGTTCACAGCTTTCTATGTATCTTTTAAACGTTTAACGCCTGGAGAATATAACTAACTAACTAACTAACTAACTAACTAACTAACTAACTAACTAACTAACTAACTAACTAACAAACTAACTAACTAACTAACTAACTAACTAACTAACTAACTAAATGAATGGATAGATAAATAAATAGGTAAATAATGTTATAAATAAGAAATAAAATTAACTGATGAAATTAATATCAAAAGATACGAAAACACGCCAGTGACAAGGAAAAACTGACATGAGTAATATCTTCCGTTCTGGTCTGGCGGTCGCGTCAATGTTATCGATTACATGATGGTTGGTCTCGTCCACCTTGTGAACACGAGAACAGCTGTAAACCGCCCTCCGCCTTGTTGTAAACAGTGCAGCGAAGGGCGCGTAACCTTGCTTTTTCCAGGTGAGCGAAATGAAAACCGAAACAAGTTTGCATAGAGAGATAAGTGATGGATTCCTCTATCTCGCAATTAATGGCTTCCGTGTTTAGGCAGAAAAAACCTGTAATAAAATAGTCGAAGTCTGAGGTTTACTGACAGAGTATTATGGCTCTCGCTGGTTCAATAAAGGTCTCCTTTTCGAAGTCCGATTGTTATTTTAGAAAGACTTAATTTTAGCCGGCAGTGTTCATTGCACAATTGACATAGTCTGAGGTATCGATTTTTTTCTGTGAAATGTTAGGCGCTGTTTAACTTAGCTGTTAAAAGTGCTTGCAAATCAAATTGTTGACTTTTTTGTCTTTTGAATGCCTTTTCTTAAAATTTGCACCCGTAAACCATTCAACCTACCGGAAACATTAAAAAAACTAATTCCTTTGTTGAAAATTCAAAACATGATTGTTGCTCGTGTGTAAGCGAATTTAACATATTACTGGAATTAAATGAAAGACTTCAAAAAAATTGTTACTTTTTCAGTTCGCGTTACAGAAGAAGAATGTCACTGAATAATATAAACTCCTTACTGCTTGAAAAAAAATCAAAGTAATTACGGGTAATCAATCGGATGAATACAGCACAACATAAGTTGGCAAACACGTGTTTATGCTTATTATATGCGATGCCCTCTTATCAATATTCATAACAGCATGTTGCTATACATCAGCAGATGTTATCCACGTGTAACAGAAGGTAGAGATTTGAAAATAGCATGTGCTGAAAACAGTAGAATACCTGACTTGGAGCTGTTAGTGATATAACAGTACGTATTCTTGGCGGATGTGATTTGGGAACGTAGTTTTTGGGTCAAAAGCACTAACTTGACTTGGTGATAACCCTGGCGGTAAGATAAATTTTGTCTCAATTTCATCTGCAACAAATTCATTTTCTCTCAAATTAGGTTGAAAGATTGCCGTTTATCGTTGCATTTCAAAAACAAAACTGATGTTAAAAAAGCTTTGTTCAGTTGAATTTGAGGTTACGCCGAAAGAGCTAAAACTCGCTGCATAATAATAGAAATAAAGATTAAAACAGCCTGTTTTCATAAGAAAAATCTTTACGTTGATGTTGAATCAACGAAAAATGCTTCAGAATTTTTTTCTCACTTCTTTATAAAGTCGGTGAACTGGTGGTTTTTGAAAATTTCCAATGAAGACTACTTGATCGGAAGTTATGGTAAATTCTTGAAAAAAAAAACTGAAATTAAAAGAAAAAATTGAAATTTTCACATTTCTCCAAAAATTAATTCAGTTTTTGTATTAGCGGAAACTTGGTATTCTTTCTAATAATTGAGAATTACACAAAACTCATTTTTGATATATTTCAGTTTTTTTGGAGTGTTTGTTTTTATAACACAAGATAAAGTTGCAGATTTTTAGGTAAAAAGAAGACAACAATAGAATTTTTCCAAAACTGAATAATCAGTTGAGGATACACTATACACTATGTTAAACTCTCACTGCGTCTTTCAGTTATATATATTGTGACTTAAGTTCGGTTTTTTTTTTTCAGCAATCTTTACTGTAACCTCTAAGTATAATGCAGGCTTTGAGATTTCTTTATTCAATCGGAGCACCTTTAGGTCTTGTAATAGTTCGTATGATATCCACTTTTCTGATACGAAAAAAGATTCAAAACAACTTCACGGGTGAAAATCGTATGAAACCTGTTTCCCAATGCAGCATGCGATCTAAAATAAAATCGGTTAAGTCTCATCGCACGTGCGCCAAAGAGCTCCGGTCGATTTCCAGTCCAGAGGGCGTTGTCTTGCGGCTGGTTGATCAGTTTTCTTTTTTTTATTCAAATTTTAACCAGTTTAGATCCACGCAAATAGAAACACTCTTTACTTAATGGAAAAATTGTTTCTTTCCTGTGTAAACAATCTTCAGTAAAAATTTATTAAAATTCATCAGACTTCTTTGCCATAGAAGTTAAAAATAGATACATTAATTCTGTTGGTTATGATACCAAGGGAAGCCCTCAAAAACGCTATTCAAAGCAAGGAAACCATCCCAGAAGCCGCGATGTAAAGTTTTAGTTTACCATAGGCTCAATTTGACACATAGCTGAACTAATCAGGATTTCTTGTGAATTGAGTCAACCTTGTTTATCTTTAGAGCGACATGGTAAGTTAACCACATGTAATGAAAAATATTTTAACGGGAGTACCTGCTTTGCCTCGGCAACGAGTTGATATATATCTTTGTAAAGATATAGAAAAGTGTCAGTTGCTGAAACTTTGTTTTCAAATGCAAATTGGTTTTCAACAAGTCTTTGCTTGTAGCCTTCAATTCGGGATTGCTTTTTCGCCTGTCGAGGTTATGGTGGTTTTCAATACAATGAAAATGATATATAAAAGTTTAATCGAATTTGTCCCGAATTAAAAGACTGCAATTTGCTTGAAACAGAATTATGAATATTCAACTTAATTGATTTATCCCCAAGAAAGTTCGGCACGCGTTTGTGAAATGGCATGTATCAAATATATTCATAAAAACAACCCGAAGCGTTTTTTCTTCTAGAGGCCATGCGACTGACAAGCTGTCCGCGGGCTTCTTTGTTACACCGACTCGTTTGTACATAACAAATGAATGATTTTATTCATATGTTAATGCAGCGCAAGCTCTAAGCACCTCTGCCACTTGAATAACTTGTTTTGTCTTCTTTCACACGAACAGCATTATTGCTCCCTCAGGAGAGACAACGAGCTTCTGTGATTGGACCATCCATCACAACTGCGGTTATCGAAATACTTCTGCCTCGTGCCATTAGGAGAACAAATTAACATCGTTGTTACTAGTTCGGTTCATTAACCAGTCAGTCAGCTAAACAACACAGCCGCGATGGAGTACTGCACGTCATTCAAAGTTGTTCGCTGGCTTCTGTTATTGACTTGTTTCAACTCGGTGTGTCCTACCAGCTTGGAAGAAGATTGCATCTGGCGAGGAAGGTAGGAAAATAACTCAGTTTTGGTAGTTTACTGTGAACAGAAGACGTCAGTAATTATCAGTGCGGAAAGATTTTTAATAAACCGAGCGCGTGCCAAATGAGTATGTGGTGAAGACTCGAAGCTGCAGTTCTAAGAAACAATTTTTAAATACCGTAACAAACGCGCAACTTCCCCTCGACCGGTATTCTTTGGTTTAATTTTGCAAGTTTTTGAGTTACATCGATATTTCCGCGCCATTTATGACCAGCGCAAGTTTAAGTGTTTTGTTTTGATAGTAGGCGATAGTCCGCGTAAATCGTTGCTGTTAATTTTATGAAAAGAGTTTTAGATAACCGTATCTGAACTTGTTCTTATCCGGTTGACAGAAAAGAAACAGATTTGTTCGATGAATGGAAATCATGCTCAAAATACAAAGTTTCCCAGCAATGACGTTACTTGATTGTACACACGAACTATCAAATTTGACAAGCAATTATGAGACAGCACAATGTGAAAAATTTCAAGGTCTAATTGGTAAAAAGCTTGGTAAAACACAGTTGATGGCGAATCTGTTCCCCTTTTTCCAGTTTTCATGAGTGCTCTGTAAAATTAGTGCAACGTCGTGTAGAATAATGAATTCGAACTTGTTTTCTTTTTCATCTGGAGTATTAACTGTCTGTTTGGGGCACGTGCTTTGCTTTTGTGTTTGCGGAGACCCATTGTTTGAATGCGCGCAAACAAAAGGAACAGCGAGTACGTAGTTCCCGATTTGCCTAACAGAATTGTGTTATTGTTCACTTTGCTTCTTCTCTTTGTGTGTTTTTGCAATTCACGAGAGAAAGCGGAAAATGCATGTTCTCTAACAAAAAACAGAAACAAAAATACAAAACCATTTTACCATCCCAACGTCTTTATTTCAGCGTCAAAGTTATTCAATCAAAATATAACCGCATTCAATCAAAATATAACCGCCAGCTGCTGGTACAATTTAATTCTGAAGAGGGCTCTCAGGCCCATATCACGAAATTTATCGCGGCAAAATGCGCGCAAGTTTTCTTTCTCACATAAATAATTCAACCAAAGAATATTCTGGAGGCAACACGCTAATCCAAATAACTGTTGACAAGATTTATAATCTCGATAAGAGACAAAGCTGATAAAGGAAAAAAATTGAAAAAATTCAAGCTTTTCGCCTTAGGAAAGTGTAATGATATTTGAGATTTGGAATATCAATGAGCTCTTTACCTTATCTCTGATTAAAATCGTATTGGCTGTTTTTAGCCATCTTTTGCTAAGAGATAGGTAGCTTTCCCGCTAAAAGACAGAGAAAGAAATATTCTCAATTATTGACGAAAATATGCGACATCTTTTTGGCGTGACCTATCTTACATTTCGTTTTGTCGCCAACGCAGAAGTTACGCATCTTTAGGCATGAACCATGCACTTTGGACTAAAACCGTTTTTTCCGAATGTCGTGACCTCTGATAAGCTTTATTTTATATTTTGTCGGAATGTTTCGGGTGAGTAACATCAGTAACGTACATTTTGCCTTTACACAACCTAATTAACGTTATTGAGAAAATGGCGCGCAATATCTAAGTCCTTGTTTTGGAATTATCTGCTATCTGAAATGTGAGCTTTGAAAATGTGAAAAACATCTTTAAAACGTTAAAGAAAGGAGTTTAGAGTATGGTGAATCGCGTAACACTTCACATGCTATGAAAATTGTTTATTTGAATAAGTTCAAGTCGCGTATCACTCTCCAGTCTCTCCACATACTCATGTAATGTGGGCGCCTTCTTGAGCAAAACTTTCTCCTATCAAGGGCAAGCAGTTCTTTAGTAAACAAACACCTCAAGCGAATCGCCACACTGATATTTTTTTTTGAGCACCGAATTCCAATTACATCCTCTTAATACAGGTTCTACTGTAGCTTACATAAAATTTCTGGTGGTCTATATTGCGAAGTTTTTTGCTGATATGAATTCATTACTTCTGAAAGAAAATGTCGTCGATACTGTATGTATGACGTAACGAAAACGGTGCCAGTAACAACTGACTGTGTCCCTGTAGCTAATGAGACTTAATATAGTAACCCCGGTCTATAATTACCCTTTGATCTTCCTTTTGCCAGCGGTGTTCCTCGTCAAGAAAGGCCATCAGTAGTCAGCATAGAGACCAAGTGTCACCAAGGGGAACTTCATTGGTCAAACCCTTTTGGTGGCCTGCGAGTCACGTTCAATCCACGTGATGTGCACGCCGACTATAAACTGTGTTTCACCGCACGGCATCCTGGTGTAAGGATTTACATTGAGTGGGGACAGAATTTGACTTTGTTGAGAGGAACTGAGGAAAACGAGACAAGAAATGCAGTTTGCGTAAAGAGCTCCGCGGCACAACGTCCAGTGTTGTACCTAGAAACTCAGGAAGACCAAATAATGACACAACTGAATTACACTGTGCTGGTGAATGGTAGAAAGAGACCCATACATAAAAGACGAAAAGGTAAAATGACTGAGAATGAATTCTTAACATGACACGCAACGCAACGTTGATCGTACACTCTTGTAGTTGTTTAGATCGATGCCGTGGCTTTAGCAGGCCATAATTGTGTTCAATCCCTGCCTGGGTCATCGTGTTGTGACATGTGACTCTAACAGTGCCCCTCGCCAATGGTTGGCTGCAAGCTTTACGTAAAACTTGACGACCCTCGGAGGGGTGGGGGGGGTCTGGAAAGGGTTAGCACCCCACAGGGGAGGAGTAGCAATACTCTGACTCGCAGCCTTAATCCTACAGACGACAGTCTTGTTCCCGCGCACAGCCTTTTTCGGAGATAGCCATGATGACGCACATGACTAAATTAAAACCACGGAGGACTTTTCCCTTGACAATTGATAGAACCATCAATAGCAAGAAATTGTCAGCAGGTGAAGTGTGCCATAGAATACTCATCAACAATTTGCTTGAACTGGCCGTAACATGTAATTCGTTATTTTTTATCCACAGAATGCAAGCCATGTCACTATAGAGAACTGCTCAGATCTTTTTGTGAAGCAAATTTTGGTAAGTATAGATACAGTAATTCGGTCCAATATGGCCATCTTAAGAGATTCTGAAGCTGACGTTTTTGAGCGTCAGCCTTAGGTCAGGATGACGTAATAGCAAGGGTTTTCGCCTATAATTTAATTTAATTTATTTACTTATATAGCGCCCTTTAACATTTATGGATGATCAAAGGCGCTTTACAATTAGTGTCTCTTCCACCCATCCCACTCCAGGGGAGGACATCCACCACACAGTAAACTCGTGCGTGGGAAATTAACGTCTCCTACCCCAACCCTGCAGGAGACGGGGCCTACGGTTTTACGTCCTATCCGAGAAGACGACTATAGCAACTGGGTCCGCCGTTTTGTGTCTCAGTATGATTGATAATAAACAACATGATTAATATTGATAAAGATAATTATTTCATGCATAGCTAACCTTAAGTTTTCTATTATAGTTGTTCGAGGGTATATCAGGAGACTTATTCCCGTCGGAAATGGTCTGACTGAACAAGCTGATTTTGAAGCAACAGAAATCATCAGACAAGAACATGAAATTTTTGTGAAACGCGACGCAAACAAATTCGCTGGGTCTATCAATGTTCCTGGTGGCTGCCATTGGAGAGAAACAAAGAACCAGCTTTTATTGTTGACGGGAAACCTTAAGGGTGGTAAAGGACCTGCGCTACAGTGTTATATTCAGGAAGAGGCTTGGGTCAACATTCCCAAAGAAGACATTCTGCATTTCTGCAAAGTGGTTCATGTTTAATTGCGTTGACAACATTCACCTGATACAGGCCCAAGAGTCGACTGGACCCGTAGTTTTATCTCTAAGTTACGTGATTTAGAACCCACCAGAGTATTGACATTACTCCCGATTGGCTCTGAACATGTATTCGGGAATCTTCGTGCCCTTCCTCACCAAACCTACGAACATTTCCCGAAAATGTACCGCTTTTTCCCAGCCCATGAACAGTAGCGCGATTTATAACATATAACTCGTTTCAAGGTCGAGTATATGTAAGTATTTCAAGAATAGGATGCTAGGGAAGTTTTTGGCTCGTCCCCGATAAAAATTATCGTTTGTTACCATCGGAAGAAAAAATAAGAAATGTAACTCATTCGCCTTCGTGAGGAAAACCTTGGTTAATTGAAACAACAATGAACGTCCTAAAATATTAGTAAAATTTGTGTTGCAAAGGAAAAAGAAATATACAGTTTTTCCTTGGCGCTCCTCGAATTTCGCAGAATCCTTGAAAAATCAAATTGGAAAGAACTTTTCAATGACTTCTTCAAATCCTCTGAACCCTTAAGAGACAAGTCTATTTAAAATTTACAAATCTTCGTAAGGATTTCGTACTTGTTTGTAAAGCTACAAGATATATCGAATAGTTGTAATAGTAAAAAATATAGATATTGCTAATTCTAAGGTAAAGAGATTATTATTATCTTTGTAAATATTGTACAGGACTCAAGTAAGACTTGAAATATTGTAAACTTTAAAGAGAGGCGCTTTCTTATGAAAGTATAACTAAGGATAAAATTTTCACTTATGTAAACTTTGTAGCTGATTAAAATCAAATATCCTTGAAATCTTGTCTTTTCTTCTACTAAGTTAGCACAATTTCAACAATGTCATTTTAAGAAAACCATCAATTGTCCATTTGGAGTGTGTCAAGTTTCAGTAAACTTGGAATAACACCTTCACACCTTCAGAAACAGACTGTGAAAAGACTACTATCAAGTACTAGATTACACTGCATGATGGTAAAACCAAAGATATCCCAACAGTGCATCAGAACGAAAGTAATCATGTTATGAAGGAGGAGGGGAGGAGACATGCATATTTCAATTCTTTTTCAAACAGATACCTTAACCCTTTAATTCCCATGAGTGACCAAGACAGAATTTCTCCTTATTATATCAATACAAATTCAACTACATCAGTGATGAGAATAAAGAAAAATAACAATTTGGAGAAAATTGTTGATCCAATACAAAATTCTCTGAACTAATATTACATTATAAAAATTGTATTATTGACAGTAAGGAGAAATACAAACTTGATCAGGAGTCAAAGGGTTAAGAGTGGTATACATTTTCTAGTACAACCACTAAGCATAGAAAACACAAATAAATTGGATCCTGAGCTTTTTTTCAGCATTGGTTTCTAAATTACCCTTAGCCTTTCTTAGGAACAGATTCATACCTAGGTTTTTCTTCTTGGGGAAGGGAGGAAAGAGGGGAGCTCTTGATCATAATGATAGGAGTGTCCCATCCTTACTGGACTCTGGTTTGTTCTAAAATAATATTTCAGACTTAGTAAACTTTCTTGATTCTCAATTAGGGTCAATTACCAGGATTTCCTTGCCCCAACCTGAATGGTTGCCTTTTCTACTCATAAATGGAGAAAGTACCTCAATAAAACTGTTGCCAACACCAAGATTTGACTTTATTTGGAGTGGCTCACAAGTAACAAACTTTCACACAATTGATAATACATGAGCATTCCACTGATCAATTCTTATTTCTGCTGTAACAGGGTATACTACCTCACTCTCAGGAAATTATCAAACATGCAAAATCAACTTTGTACAAGTAAAAAATTGACACATCTCTGCTCAGAACAAGTAGGCTGTCAAAAAAGATATTTAACTTTGAAAATATTATCTCCATGGCTGTCAACATCACTCAAATCTTGATCTTCTAACTGAGGATCTTTGGAAAAAAAAAAAAAACAAAGTACAAAAATTATCATGTTCTCATATTTCAATGCTATAAAATATGAGGATAAATATTCAATGCCATATTTTTTAAAAAAAAAAGTAAACAACATAACCTAAATAATGAGCCGTGCTTTTCCCCAGCAGCATGCAAACAAACTGGAAGTGTGAAGTGGTGTGATACTGATATCAAATAATTGACAAATACACTAACTTACATGGGTAAACATGGGGTATTGATTTCATTGTGGCAACTGTATCTTTTGTCCATGGACTGACCAGTGCAAAGATTGGACCTAGAAGAAATAGAAAGTAAGTAAGTTCGAGTGCTAGATCAGAGTTCTTAATTATTACATTATGAGAAAATAACACAACAAAAGTAGGCTATATTTTCGGAGTTCACTAGGATCTTGTGATTGAGAGCAAAACTTTTCTAAGTTTATCTGCTAGAGAGTGAAATTTGCAGTTTCAAATTAAGAAAAAACTTTTAATTGGACAAAAGAAGAGTCCTCTGCTTAATTTTCCATGGAAAATTCGCTCTTCTCCTCCCTTTAACATTTGCATATATAATAGAACAGGCAAAAAAATGACTGATGTCCAAGTATTGCAAATGAAATAAACGTAGCGTTGTTATCAACGTAAACAACCAGGAACTTAAAAGGAAAGCAATGTTGTCCCTACCTTTTTGTCAAGATAAGTCTGAACGACATTGAATAATCTTTTGATAGAGATTACATAAACTGTACTTTATTTTTTACTTCGGAATAGCTCCATTTTGTACTGATATAATCAGTATTGGCTGAAGCCAAGTATCTGATCATGAAAGACCTGCGGGATTGTTCAGTAAGCTGAACGAGATTTAAGCCTGTTTAAACACACCTATAGACTAACAAACATTTTCTATACAAAATAACAGACAGTTAAGCTACCTGATATTCCAAAAACACACGACATAAATAGCACAGGCTCCCTTGCCCAAGCAATTTTAAACCAGTCAATAGTCTTTCTCATAACGCCAGCCATCTTAAATCGGGTATGCAACCTCTTTAGCCTCGTTCGCATTACGGCTTAGTTCCCAGTACCTCCTCTACCTTTCTTTTCGAGAACAACGGAAAGATTGAGTGACAACTGAAGGCAAAAACACCGAGATTCAGGAAGAATGAATGCGCGATCGCAAGTTTTCGAGTTATCTGTCGAAGGACGACAGATTGAAGAGGCAATTTTGAGTATTTTTCACTCAATTTTACTTCACAGGACGTCTGGAAAGTTTAACTACAAAAGAGAAGGGTCTTATAGCATAGGAACCGTTGGGATGGTTGATGTTGACTGCGATTTTGTGAACTGCACCTATGTTCGGGTAGATTCGGATGAGTTACATCGTTCCTTGAAAAGGCAAGTTGCGGAGTTTAGGGAATCTTTGAAAAGTTCCCACGGCCTAAGGAGTGGACAAATCTCTCTAGAGTTTTATCAAAGAAAGAAAGCTCGGTGGCCTTTCGGAATGGAGAATATTCCGTGGGAAATTTGGACGGTAAAATTAAATGTCGTCAGCCTAGCTAACGAGCACGAACGGCAGATCTGCCGAGAAAAAGTCGGCGAGGCTCTCGCAGAAAAAATAATTTGTATTGCTGGAGTGATGAACAGACCAGAGTATGTTCCCAAGATGCCGAATCAGTCAGATGTTGCTAATGTTTTTGATGTAAGCTTCCCAGACGTTCAACCTTACCTTCATAAGTTTAGTTACCAAGCTTCCGACCAGCCATCTCAGTCTGTGGGGACCACAATGAAAAGACTTATACTAGATACATTCTCCTACTGAAGTATTAGGAAATGATTGTTGTATCAAATATATTCTTGATAACTGGTAATCACTGTCTTTAGGTGTATCTCTGGATGAGTGAATGTGCAAACATATAGTGACATACTTTGCATTAATGACTGTGAATATGTAAAATGAATACATGTGTACTCTGGATTAAGAAATTAATACTAAAGGAATCTTTGCAGAAATGAAACTTACATAAACAGTGGTGAAAATTAAGCCTGAAAAAAATTTAGGCCTGTATAGGGTTTGAACACATACCTCTGTGATACAAATGCATGAAGGGATTAATCACTGACTGTAAATTACTAATTAACATAATGACCAGCTTTCAGTTGGCTTGTTAGCTCAGTTGGTAGAGCACTGCACTGGAATTGCAGAGATCATAGGTTCAAATTAGGAATTGGGACCTGAAACTGAAAATAAAAATTGAGTATTGAATGTAATGATTTGTAAGTATCAAACAGTATGTATTAGTTGAGCATCGAGGAAAGTTTCAGTTCCAATTAGATTTCCCCATACTCACATTTGGCTTCTATACTTTTAGTGATGTTAGCAGTGAGCCTTTGAGGTAGCTCTCTTTGTTGGAATTTTGCCATTTTTTGCATAAATCCCAGCTTGATCAATCTAAGAAATCAGATATGATCTGAAATCTAGGGTTTTGTAAGCTGACTGAGGAAGTTCAGCTTCGACTCAGCTGGATACCTGCTAAGTTTGTTTTCAATGTATAAGAGTTTCCCGTAAAGTTATCAGAGTCCAGTCCACTGAACTTTTAATTGTGACGTCATAGCTAGTTTTCTACAGTGTTTGTCTGTTCGTGCACTTGTAAACATGGCTACCATCCGTGAACGAGGTTACACCTTGGAATTAGTTAGTTTACCAGAGACTTCTACGTGGCTGTAGGTTTTCACTAGCAATGTAGCCTTCTGCAATGACAGACCTTTGCAAAAAATTTGGACTTGATGTCGATACGGCAATAAATCAGCTTCTTGACTACAGAAACTCTTCGACTAAGCTGGTAAGTTTGTTTGCAAACAGTAAAGCTTTCTTTGAGAAAAATTGCAGAAGGTTAAACCAGTGCGGCTCATAGAATTGATTTGGATAGCTCATCAAAACATCAGAAGGAATTCTTCTCGATACAGCTTTCGTTTCATTCACCAATTATTTTATACCTGCCAACAAAACTTTTGAGTAAAAATTACAATTTGCCCATAAAGTTCAGTTTGAGTCAAAATTTATAGCATTTGCTCATTGACCTGCGAAAGGCGGGTCGCTTTAAAATGTAAATTTTTCCAATAGCGCATAGAAAGGAAAAGCAGAATTTTTTATTTGCATCAATAAAATATGAATTAGCATTACGAAGGTCTACACATTTTAGTCTCACACGTTCAGATTTGTCCTCAGTTACTACAAAACGGATCTTTGTTATAGTTTACATGCGCGTGTATCTACTTTACTTTACAAAACTAAGCGACAGTGATGTTTTGTTGACCAAAATAAACCACTGTTATTATCTTTTTTTTCGTGCAGCTTCAAAAACTGCGACCATTTGTCATAAAATATGAAACCGACCAGTTATTAACTTATGTGGTATTAACCAACATCAAGCTTTTTTAAAATTTTAGTTACTATATTTTTGACGATACCAAAAATAAAGTACAAAATGACAATGATAATAATCATAGCAACAATGAACAAAAATTGTATATGCAGATTTTAGTCAACCCCAAGGATTAAATTTGGTTGTCAATTCAGAAATTGAATTTTAATGTCAGCATGAATTCATCCGGCTTCCATTAACGAGAGTGTTGTTGTTTATAACGACAAAGGAAATTTGAAACCGGGTGAATATTTTGGTTACATTTCTCCTCAGATGTTATTCAATCACAAATGCTCTCAGTTTACAATTGATTTTAGTTGCTTTTAGATAAAGGACTAAATAAATGCAACAAACTCAATGGAAATGAAAGTGCAAGTTAATACTAACAGTAACTTTTTCACTTAACTTTCTGCTTCTTTAATAAATAGCTTATGCAGTAATCACACAGCTCTGGTTAAAAAAGAAAAATCCTTATTGTGTACACAAAAACTAAAAAAAAACTGGTTTGAATTGGTAAACTTTGCCTTAGTGAATGTGACAGTGCTGTGGTGTAATCATTGGAAAACAAATGTTATCATTTTGGTTTTTGTTTGATAAAGGAGGTATATTTGAGAGGGAGCCTTAAAGAGAAGATTTATCGGAGCATGTACAGTATTTAAAATATCACTTCCTTGGTTTATGAATAAAGTGATAAATGCAATCACATGGTTGATTGGTTCAATCCCTTTGTATCCTGGTGTTGTTTTGTCATTAATATCATCTACTGCTCTCATGGCCTATTTGCAGATGGAAGTTGTTTCCTTGCCATGTTTTAACAGTACTGATTATAATGATTGACTGGTCCAAAACAGGTTCAGCTTCCTGAGGGAACCATCCGATTATTATGCCAGGTTTCCAGAGAAGTTTTCATGCAAGAGGGTGTGCTTCTAGAACTAGGTGCTCCAATGAATATTTTTGGTGATATCCATGGACAGTATGATGATCTTCTGAGGCATTTTGACAATCTAGGTTATCCTCCAGACATTGCCTGCCTATTTATGGGAGACTATGTGGACAGGTATGGCTTAAACATCATTAGTTATTTTAATTACCAACTTTTTAGCATTTTTGTTGAGCAATCAGCACCATCTCTCTCGGAGAGAGTAATTATAAACAATTATTTTCCTTTATCCAAATTGTCACCTATGCTGAGCTGCACTAAAAGCAAGCAAATGTTTTCTATTGAGTGGTTTTAAGGTAGAACTAAGTTTCTACAGCTGTTTCAAATCATGTAGTTGTTATCTCTTGCATGATTATAATTTCCAGTGATGTCATCTGTCTATCACATGCTGAATTAATTTACTAGCAAAATTAATATTATAATCTTTAACAGCTGAAATACATCCAGATTGTTTACTGTTCTCTGACTGGAATCACATAATGAGATATCAGGACATGTAAGCAAACCACAAAACATTACTGCCAATGGTTAACATTTCTCAGGCGTGTTTCCCCGGATTTCCTGCGGAATGTACCATCACATTCAATAAATTCTTCAGGTGTCCACTTTTCTCTGAGTTCCACATTCGCTTCCACATTCAGGTGTTGAAAACTTTGGCTTTTAATAATTTGTGTTTCTCAGGGGAAGGAAGTCCTTAGAAACAATATGTTTACTACTTGCTTACAAAATCAAGTATCCTGATAAAATGTACTTGCTGCGAGGAAATCATGAGTGTGCTTCCATTAACAGGTGAATTTACTTAATTTGCAGATTAGTGAATATTACAGATAAAAACAAACAAACAAATCACATAAAGTCAGGGAAGCATTTTGGCCTGAGATGTTTAGCACTGCTGTTTTTGTTATTGGTAGTCCTCTCTGTCGTAACTGGAGAAAGAGGAAAATTTCATCTCCTTTTGTGGGCAGGGGGAGAGGGGTAGACTGCAGAATCTCTGACTTCCTTTACATTTCACTCCTGTTTTCCTTCCTCTTATTGCACAACATTGCAGATTGACCATTCTACCTTGATAATGTTACTTCTACCTCTAATCTTCCCCTTTGGACATGTTTCCCTGCTGCAGGTGTTACAATAAAAGAACATAGGCATGATATGCATACAAGAGTTTAATTTTTAGGCCTGGTGGGTTGAGGTGGGACACTGTGTACTGTAACTCAGTGATGTTTTCTCTTGTCAGGCAATGCCCTCTCTCCCCCATTTTGAAGAGACCAAACAACAGTTGCAAGGGAGGCTGGGCTTACATTCATTCCTCTGTCTGAGATTATTGAACATTGTCCGTTTACTTTTAGTTGCCCTAGGAATATCATCCCATGTGATTTTAATGCAAAATGCAAACAGAAACTCTTTTTCATCTTCAACAGACCCTATATTGTAATCTTCATTCTCTAAATAAGTGAAGATACATTGAACAAAAGAGAAAAATATCTTATTTTAAAGGCTTTCACTTGGGCATAATAATGTGAGCTCTTTATTTGGTTGTTGCCTTTCTGGATTTTTCCCCCTGTGTGTGAAATGCATGATTAAATGCAGGTTGTTTACAAGGAAGTGACAAGTGATGGGATACAGTTTAAGGAAGCTTAAGGAAAATTTGATTGGTAGAAATTAAAAAAAGAAAGTGTTGTTTGTGTTTCATTTAGTGGATTGAATTTGTTTTTCCTCGTAGAATTTATGGTTTCTATGATGAATGTAAAAGAAGATACAACATAAAACTTTGGAAAACATTCACAGACTGTTTCAATTGTCTACCAATTGGTAAATGCTTTGTTATATTTAAGGTATCTTTATTGTTAATTTAAGATTAAAAACTACAGTTCTGTTTTCTAGGTAAAGCACAATTAGCAAATTAAAATGCTCCTATTTTAGAGACAGTAATTTGGTAACATTTTCATCAGTTGACAAATAAATAGCCAAACCAATCAAACTGCTGAGAATGGTGTCCATTTAATTTATATAATTATAAAAAATGCTTACTTCAACATTCACAAACGTTTTAACTGTACTTGAACTCTTTTTAGCCGCAGTTGTAGAGAATACCATCTTTTGTTCTCATGGAGGCCTTTCTCCAGATTTACATGACTTTGATCAGGTTGGTCCATAGTGGCTTTAATTTCAATTGTAATTGTAAAGCATTCCCTTAAATAAAGATATTAAGCCATCAGTAATTGACTCAATTACGGTTATAATTGCTCCACTTGTGATGAGGTTAAAAAAAATGTGTGGAAACCATTAGAATCAAATTGACTCCATGTGCTGAAGAAACGTCTGAATTTGGACTACCTTATGTCTTTACTCATCTGATGCATTTGCTCGTTTGTCGGCAAATTTTGTACTAGTACCGTAGGCACTTCAGAATTTCAAGCGTTTAATTCCTGTATCGTGTGGACGTTCCTGAGCAATCTTGGTAATCATAAAAACTATTCCTCTGTCAGTGGATTATTTAGTGAAACAGTCATGACAGTAGTTATTGTTGATGTTCAGTTGCGCTCTCTAGAGCGGCCCATGGATGTTCCTGACGATGGACTTGTGTGTGATTTACTTTGGTCCGACCCAGATGAGGTACAGAATTGAATGAATTTGCATGAATTTTTATTTCGGGTCGTGTTGATGTACACCAATTGACATCCAATCTTCTTTTGGGAGTGGTGTACAGGTTATATATTTATTTCCTGCTAAATTATTGCGTCGGTCGTATGATTAATGTGGGTTAGGTGTGACATCTAGAGAGTAACACCAAACTTTGTCGATGCAAACGTAAAGGGTCTGAAACTGGTTTGAAAAAGCGAGGAAATACAGAAGAAACAAACATTTCTCATGAAAGTTTCCTAATGGAAAAAAAAAACCTTTTCAGGAGTCATACTCATTTCGTAAATTTTCAATTTTAACGCACTAAAAGGTGTATTTGTGTGGTTACCCAAGTTCAAATAAAGGTTGTCTTTATAAATAATGAACAGAACTTAATACCTTGCAAGGTTAATTATTCATGTGCATTTGGTACCTATAATTGAAAACAATTTTAACAGTTTCCATCGCTAGAAAAGGCGGTGTGTTCTGCGCACTTGCAACAGGCTGTACGTTTATCAGCTGTTATCATTGTACTGTTTGTTTTCCCGGCCGCATAATCGGTAATGCAATATTGAGCTTCAGGAACGGTTGTTATTTGTATTAAATGTTGTTCTCCATCCAATTACGTATCGTTGATACCCTATGTTTATTTATGGTCATTCTCACGAGATTCTTTCTCCCAAATATTTATTCCTAGGACATTACTGGTTGGGGCGAAAACGACCGCGGTGTATCGTGGACGTTTGGTGGTGATGTTGTCCGATCATTTCTCGAGAAGCACGACTTAAGTTTAGTAGCACGTGCTCATCAGGTACACAATAAGACATTTTTTGCCCAACTCCCCTCGGACTTTTCAGAGTGTAGGTATCTCCGTTTTCGAAGCATAGAGCAGTTTTCAAATGAGTGTCAAAAGGAATCCGAGATTTTATGGGTTCTTTTTCCCCACGCTCTGTGATTGGTCAGAATACTCGCGCCACCCTATCAACCAGTCAGATGCAGTGCTTAAAACAAATCTTTACCTAATTCATGATGTTTTCCCGCGCTTCCGGCTGTTTGCTTGTTTCCTCACTGATTTTTAATTGGCTCCGAGTATTATTTCCCTTTGTGTGACTGGCCGTAGTGATTACTTTGGTTTGTGTGCCACGGCACTCGCTCTAAGAGAGCGAAGATGTTGATATTACTACTGGAACAGGAGAACCCTCCCCTCCCTCCGGAAGTAGAGTGAGTGACAGGCTTAGGTTAGGTTAGGCTGTTACTAAGAGGTTCAATTCACTTGATATTTAAGACTAAGAAAGTATTTTGTTTGTTCCCTTACAAAAGTTGTCCACGTTAGCGAGGCAAACGTTGGCTGAGCTTCTGCAGCTCATTCGTGGTGATAATTGTTTGTGGCTTTCTCTGTCTTCTTTTACAGGTTGTTGAAGACGGTTACAGATTTTTCGAGAAGAGAAAGGTAGCCAAACCCGAACGTTTATTGCATGTAAAAGAACATTGTGAGATCTATAATATTCTTGCATGGTGACGATGATACTGTTACCCTCACAGTGAAATTGTACGAGGTTGATGGACATTTTGTCTATGGTAACTTATCCCAAATAAGTGTCAACACCAAGTTTTCTATACCAACGTAAACAGTGAACAATGTTTTGTCGGCACTTACTGAAGGAAGTTGCATGTGTAAATGTAGTTGTAGATTGGATGTAAACCTGAGACGAAAAAGCTTTGTCCACTGTTATTTCACTTCATGAGCGTTGTTTGGAATGACAGGCAATTTCATTTCATATTTATTGTCCTTAATTTCCAGCTTGTTACTCTGTTCAGTGCTCCAAATTACTGCGGTGAGTTTGACAATGCTGGTGGCGTTTTGGTAGTCCACAAGAACTTGATGTGTTCTCTAAGTATTCTAAAGGTAAGTTGCAAGTTTTAGCGTTTTTTATTTTTCAATCCCATGCAATCGTCCTCATCCTTTTCAATGGAGTAATGCTCGTGGCTTAAAAATTGTCTTTTACTAATTTTGATGTGGTCTTGTTTCAGCCCAACAGCCTAACGAATAAAATCAAAGAAACGCTTTCTCAGAAGAAAAGTGGGCGCCTTAATCGCTCTTCTAATCGGATTCAAGTCCAATAGTTCTTGTAGTTTGGACATTTCAGCACATTTGATGGCAAGCATATTTATGGAGGGAACTTTTTGAATTGAAAGAGCTTCCTTTTGTATTGATGGTCCTTTTTTATGTTATTTATCGAGGTAACTGCCAGAAGGTTATAAAAACATATATTTGTAGATCAAATAAAGCTTTTCATAGCATTTTTTTTACACAGTGTAAATGCGTCACCTTTTTGGGGTTTGCACTGTACTATTTTACCTCCGCTATTGTTACAAGTTGCGGAATTTGTTAAAGGACGATCTCATGGTGCGATTGAACAACCGCTTGTGAAATTAAAGGGTGGTGGCAAAGAACGAGTTTCCTTACGAATAAAAAATTTTCCACCAAAATCTTTCGAAATTGAAGTAAGGTGGAACAGAATCTCTCTGCATTGGTGTTCCATATTGGTGTGGAACCTGTACAAATCAGAGCAAGCCTTCGTAATTGGAGCAAGCCTTACCAAATTGAAGCGGAATCTTTCCAAACTGGAGCAAATCTTTTCAGATTAGAAAGAGTCTTAACAAACTGAAGTTTGAGTATACAAAACCATTGAGTTTGCATTGGAATGCAACCACTTGTTCTCGCTCATCATGTCAATTTCAGGTTTTGATGCTTGGTGTCCTTCCAACCAAGTACTTAAAGCTCTTTTGTTAATGTGTGGAGGTGATTGCGGTAGATTCTGTTTGAAAACTCTTCGAAAAGCGGACACAGTTGTCAACCACTGACCCAACCACTAATATTGAATAGTTAATGGCAGCTCTATGTTACCGCCACTGTCAGCCTGGTGGTTCTGTGATATGTTTTGCTCAATACATGCAGCTTGTCGAACGGCTTGGTCACCCATTGTCCTATTTGGGGGTGCCTGTGCAACACGTCTGAATCGACGACAACACAACATGCGCGAAAGAAATGCGATGTAATTACGACGATACTGTGGGTTCATGACTCCATAAACAACTGGGTTTGTACAGCTATGGAGCCTTGTAAATATATCTGCAACAAACCAGAGCTCCTCATAGGAAACATTTCTGAAATCAAACAGCATCCAAGCGATTTGATTTGGTAATAACAATACCGAGAACGTCAAAACAATAGCCGCTACGGTTTTCAGTACTATCACACTCTCTCTTGTACTGTCTTCTCCAGGGATTTGTCTTTTAGTAAATAAATTGCTGTTTCTCGCCAACACTGGTCGATTTTTCATAAAAAGCCATATTCGTATGTAGCAAATTGCTGTAATCAGCAGCGGTAAGATATACTGTGCTGTGAGGAGTGAGACGGTGTATGCCTGGCGATGAGCAAGGGAAGGCCAATCTTCACAGTTTCCATTTTCTGTTATTTTATTGACGATGATAAGTGGAATAACCAATATAAAAGCAGCTAGCCACACCAGTGACACCCATATCTTTGCAGCTCTTCGTTTAAGCTTTGGTCTCCACGGCTTTGTAACAATATGGCACCGATGAATCGCCATGGATGTGACAGTGAAAAGCCCTGCATTATATCCGGTTGTAACAACAGTCAAATGTATTCTGCAGTTAAATACATCAGCCTTGTGGCCAAAACGACGTAAAATGGCTACAGGCGAATCAAAACACAGCAAAACCAGATCTGCAATGGCCAGACTTGTAACAAATGTTCCATGAATTGTCGTCCTGGCGTTTCTCTTGAGAACTATAATCAGTACAAAGATATTTCCTGTAAGTCCCACGATAAAGATAGTGACCTCAAGGGCAAGTTGGAACCCCCATTTTGGGTTCTCCATTTCAAACATGAATAACTGAGTCTGAGAAGTTAAGTTCTGTTTTCGCCTTTGATCACTTATCGCTTGGTAAGTACTGGTGAGTTTCAATGACTCGGCGAAAGCTTCGTTTGTTTGAACGAAGCCTTGCTTTCTTCCAGCTGTTATCGTCGAGTTCCTTGATTGACTGCTTCCTAAATTTACACAGTGATGTATTTGTCTTTGTTTATCGATGATGGCTCGATGAAAAGAGTTTTCCCGACAAGTGTTGACTGACCATGTTACTCTCTTGATGATACTGTTAATTAAACTAGTACTCTTTTTGTATTTTTCCGTTTATATTTTTCACTTACTATGCCGATTCATCAATAATTCAGAATAATTTCCAAGAGCCTCACTAGCCTCCGGAAAATTTTGGCAATACCCAGGCTATATGTTTCAGATTGAGAAATATGATTGGTCAGTTAACTCACTTAATAGGCAGCTGCAAGGTAAGTTCTCCGCACAACCCGCTATTCTTTCTATAATGGAATATTCCGAAATGAAACGAATTAGCGTCGATTATTCACTTGGAAAACATTTTTTTTACCTGCCGTGTCGTTTAATGTCATCTGTTGATGCTCGCGCACATCGAGCCTCAGTATGTCATGAAATCTTTCGACTTGTTGAATCCTGTAACAAAAATTCTTCCAAAAGGAGTTTTGTTCAAGGTTGTTATTTTAACTACAGGTACATTATATAAAATGTAGGCATTGAATTAAGCACAGCGATCAATATTCATGTATTTTACATGTTTCTAAATTAGGTTATGTCGCTAAGACGTAAAGCTTTCCTGTGGAATTGGTTCCGATAACGTATAACAATGAGCGTTAAAAAATGGAATCTTCTTATGTTCAGTCTTGGACTCATGTTAAAGTACTCTGAACCGTGAGCTAGATTAATAGTTTAAATATAATATAACATGTTGCAAGAGTCAATGATTAACACACCCTCCAACACAAGGACCTGTTTCTATGGAGAATTCTTTCCGGTTAGGAGCAATTGCGCGCTTTCAAAAGCTAAACTGATGGGTGCACTCATAAAATGACTTTAAAAAGAAGTTGTACAAAGGGCAAACCCGAATTACGGCCTTTGGAAAACATTTCATGCCAATTTGAAACGCTAGGAGTCATAATCCTGATGAGGGTCTTAGTAATTCACGCTAACACGTCGACGGTAGTATAATTCAAAAAAAGGACGAAGATAAATGATGAATTGATAATTGTTTTCCTCTAAAACGCCACCAATGCCACGAGTGGTCTCCTACAACAAGATGATAATTATTGAAGCGCTTGTTATTCATGTTACTGGCGAGTTAAGTAGCCATGACATGACGTCATAACAAATGCATTACTACAATTAATGCAACTCGCGCAACTTGCATTTTCAAATTAAATTTAAGTGAATTTTCCTGTCATTGCCTGCTAGGGAGTGCACTCAGCTGTGCGTTTATTACGCCATGAAACCCTGCATGATCAAAATTCACGTGATAGGCGTGCCGTCGCGACAAAGAAATGTTCCGAAGAGTACGTTCGTTCGCGGCATATATGGAATCGTTGTCTTACCCGTTGAATCACTGTCGCGTCGTGACTTGGATTTTCGTCGATATACAAATTTCCTCCTCATTAGCATTTTATAAGTTCTTGCAGGAGCCCATTATAAGCTCCTGGTGCTTAGCGTAAAGTGTTACAAGTCTGAGTCACTCAATTTCAATGTAGCCATCACCCAATTTTTCGTTGATATTTTGGAAATAATCCGCGATAAATCGTCTCGGTTATTCAAGAATAAGTACGTTTGATTAGTGCTAAGGAATCCTAAGCAAAGTTTAAAACGAAAACCTCAGTAACCATTTAAATCAGTAAAACAGATATATTATATTTGAAAATGTTGGTTTTATCGACTGAGTTGATAATGTAAATTGGCCACCGTGTAGAGTTTCAAAGCTGACGTTTCGAGCGTTAGCCCTTCTTCTCTCGCTCTGACGAGGGGCCAACCCTCGAAAACTAAAATTTCCTCAAAAGGAGAATCTGCTTAGCTATAGCACCCCTTCTTGAATCAAAAGCATTAGCAAGCTCCCTTGGCGCTAACTCTAACGTTTACAGTAGAGCGCATAACCAGGAAGTTTAAGAAGGAACTATATCCCTTGAGTTGTTTCTCGAGATTATCCTTTTTGTATATAAAGTTGATGATGCTCCGCCTAGATCAGGTAATTTGTCTGGCAACCGAGGTTAATCACACGGGAATAACATAATATAAATTAATCAAGGGATATGGGAAACATTTTGCGTTAAAACGTATTTAGTTAAAAAGTTCGTGAGGGGGTTAATGTTTTTTGGTCAAACATTGTATGAGTAGCACCCCTTAACAAATGTAATTTTTTTTAAAGAAAATCCTAAGTTCTTGAATCTAACACTGTTCCGTGTAACCACAGGCAAATTGCTCAGTCGTTTCCTGAATTATGCGGTGGCGTTTTCCGCTGGCGTAAGATCAAGGCTCCCAGATCGTCCGCAACCGCAAAACATGCACGATATCGTGCAAAACATGCACGATAAAAAGCTGGCGTAACTACGACGGTACTGTTTGTTCGTGACTCCGTACACAACTGGGTTTAGACAGCTATGCAGTCTTGTCAGTATATCTGCAACAAACCAAAGCTCTTCATAGGAAACATTTCTGAAATCCAACAGCATCCAAGCGACTTGATTTGGCAACAACAACACCAAAAACAAGAAAACAATTGCTGCTACGGTCTTTAGTATCGTTATTGTTTCTCTGGTGTTCTCTTCATTTAGAGCTGGACTTCTGTTGCTGGGATCGTTGTTTCCCGGCAATACAGGCCGCTGTTTCAAAAATACCAGTATTCGAAGATAACAAATTGCTGTTATGAGCAGTGGTAGCATGTACTGAAGTGTCATTAGCAAAGCAGTGTATGCCCGACGGACTGTGAGTGAGGACCACTGCTCTTCACATTTGCCATTTTCTGTTATTCTATTGACAACAATAAGTGGAATAACCAAAATAAAAGCAGCCAGCCACACAAGCGACACCCAAATTATTGAACCTCTCCGCTTCAGCTTCGGTTTCCACGGATTTGTTACAATATGGCACCGATGAATCGCCATGGAAGTGATAGTGAAGAGTCCTGCATTGTATCCGGTTGTAACAACCGACGGATGTACTCTGCAGTTATACGTTTCGGACTCGAGACTGAACCGGCGTAAAATAGAAACAGGTGAATCAAAACACAGCAAAACCAGATCTGCAATAGCCAGACTTGTAACAAAAATCCCATGTACTGTCATCCTGGCGTTCCTCTTGTGAACGATAATAAGCACAAAGATATTTCCCAAAAACCCTATAACGAAAATTGTCACTTCTGTTAAAAGCTCGACCCACCAGCGGCTAGAGGCGTTTCCGTGAATCATTCCTCTGCGAGCTTGTAATCTGTATGGTTTTTCTTGTCTTCTCTACCGCCAGTGACAAATGCCTCCACCGTGAAACAAATAATAACCTGTGAAGAAATCAGTTTCGTGAACGCGATTGAGCAAAATTAATCAATAAAATCAAATAATCTCGAGTTTCAAAGAAGCTTCAAGTACGGTTCTAAAATTGAATTTTCGTGAACTGATAGCACCACTGATGACTTCATAGCAAAGCGAAGATCTGTAAAAAAATACATCTCTGTACAATAGTCTGCGGGTCCATTTAGTGTGTGCTTCGGCAAAGAATCGTTAATTTATTGATTTGTCATATCTTTTTTTAGAGCCATTTATCCTTACTTCAATGCAAATATGTCTAGCCTTTCAGTCCTTAATTGTTTCACAGTTTCTTTTTGGTCGTTTTCCAGTTGCCAATTTATCACTGAAGTTTTAATTTCTTTTTCAGTCCTTCCTGCTGTTACTAAAAATTTCACTGCCAGTTCAGAATATTTCAGCTAAATCTATTTGCACCTTTCGAGTGCGCGCTATAGGTCAAGTTTTCAAAACCAAGCTTAAACTTACGATAAGCTTTAGTCCTTAAGCTCTAAAATGACGCTTCGAATTAATTCTTTCAACCAGACTTAAGCGCTTCTCAGGTTCATGAATTTGCCACAGCAGCTAAGCCTGAGAAGGAAATAAAGATCACTTAAGAACTTGTCACGGTGCCTTGATGTGGAGATAAACCACGACAGCCAAATCTCATCTCTTTTTCTACCGACGAATCACTGGGCATACAAATATAGAAAGTGGCAAATTGAGTCTTTGATAGGCAATATTCCTCAATGTAAGGACTTATTGTTAGAATAAAACTCACACACAGATTATGATTGAATAAGGTATTTTTACCGAACACGGAAAGTGCACTGTGTATTGCGGAAGCTTTTAATGTAATTGACTCGACAATATCCTTTCTGTATTTGATTAATTTTAATACAAATCCTGGAGCAAAGGTGTAATTAATCCTCACCATATGACTTGACCTATTCAAGACAAGAAAAAAACTTGGGTACTGGCGACATGAATTTGCAAGATGCACAAAGTACGTAAAGGACGGTGTACTTTGAACTTTGAGCGAAGAAAATTTTGATCAAAAAACTTTTCACAATTTAAGGTGTTCAATTTTCCTCCAATTATCGCCTTCTAGATGGCTGTCTCAGAACTTCTATCCAAAGGAATTTTTATATCATGATTTTACCTACTGCAGTTATTCTTAAATAATCTTGGTCCAGTATTGCCGGGAAAATGAAAAGTTCGCCTCGCCTTTTTAATTTCGTTTAAATTTGGGAATCAATTTCGCAGATAAATCTATCATGACGCCTTCTACTTCAGATAAATGAATATTTCATGCCTATGACAAATCGAGTTCTGGTGCTCTAATTGGGTTTGTGAAAAAAAGTTTAACCTTTTCTTTTCCTCAAAATTACGAAATCATTTTAAATAGATACTCCGTTTTGACTTTTTACACTACAGCTGTCACATCACGCAGAACTCGGTCAATTCTAATTACATTTATTTAAATTTGTCCCTAAGGGTAAGATAGTAATTCAACATTCCCAATATGAAAACAAAGTACCAAAGCCCTGATGCTGAGGGCGATATCTTTCCTTTAAGTTTTGGTAATTTCTCTCAATTCGTTGAACATAGAAAAAGAGGCTGCAACATCTCAAAATATACAGAAATCCAATTAAAATCCCAACAAAAATTGAAACCGTATATGTGTTCTGAAAAAGACGCGATTCTTTTTTTTTCAGATTTAAATTAAAAAGGGGGAAGAAAAATCCTGAATGTTCGAGAATATACAACTTTCCTCTAAGCGCACCACGCATTTAGCTTTAATATTCATAACCCTAAGTGCTTTCCTAATTTTGTATTGCTTTAGCGTTTAATAAAATTATCATTCGGCCAAATTGCCGATGAATGTACGCAAATAATTATTCATAATTCTATCCAGTTCGCCCCTGAACTTTTCCAAATATTTTCGTTCAGAAAATGCCTAGGTTTTATCTAACACCATGAAATTTCGGAAGAGGGTATCAATTTTTCAATAGGTTGTGGAACTCTTAATAATCACTTTAAACAGAAATTGATACGCTGATAACTAGATTCTCATCGTAATAGCAGGTGATTCATAATTAATACCAGCCTCTTGGAAACAAAATAAATATTCAGCATGCTAGCAATTCAAAGAAGGTTGCTTTCGTTAACGAACTGAAATACAACGTGAAGTAGATCTTCTTTCACCCATTCAGGGGAACTTATTCTTTTGTTTTATAGCTGATGGTAAATTTAATTTCAATCAGTGTGAAATAAGCTGCATTAATCAACCATGGGTGAAATTTCCTTCTTGTTCTTAGAATTCTTGAAGATTTCAATTTCTGTTACAAATACTGCAGCTGTCCAACCCCTCAATTTTGAAAATTCGAAATCACTTCACCAAAATGAATGCTAGTGATCCAGGGTTAAGCAAAACTTGAAAGCATCAATCATGCCAAAAAATTGTGGGTAGTAGTTTTTTTTTGGAAAAATGTAATATCATCAAACCAAATTACATTTTGAAGAAAAACCTTTTAGAGAGTCAAAACTCCAGGGGGTTTGAGAAGGCTTCATCTACTTTTCTATCCAGTTCAATTTAAAACTCTTGTGACCTTGTATCTCCTATGAAGTGATTGTAATTCTTGCTTCTATGCACTGTAAATGTCCTTGAAAATTACTCAAGGAAATTTGGTAATACATAAAGACACCAACCTGTGACTGTTGTATCATATGCCTATTCTCTAGAGTTAAAAGAGGCCGCACCTCAATCACTTCCTAACCTCTAAGGGTAGGAGAGGTAACCCTTTAAACCCTAACATCAGTATGCATATTCATCATACCATTCTGTGTATGTTAATTGTAAGGTGTTGACAAGGAAAATTTGTTAACAATCAGGAGTTACTTTGGTAGGTGATTGTCTCCTTCATTCTTGTGACCTTAATGTGTAATTCAGGGCTGATATTGTAAGGAGAAATTAGATGTTAGTCACTCTTACAGGGCCAAAGGGTTAACAAAACTTTAAAACAGTTTTACAAATTACAGTGATATCACTGAATACTACAAAGTATTGCTATATCTTACTTCCTCTCAAGTAATAGCTTTTGCCAAGCTCAAAGAGGAGCAATTGCTTTTGTATTTGTTTTTCTGGTGGGGGAAAACATTCTATTTGTTTGAAGGTTGCACAACTCCTATTTGAAAAGAGCTCAGCTTTTGTTCATAAAAATCCATATCCCTTACACACTGAAGGCACCCATTAAATACCTTATTTTCTAAGGTTAACATATTGTCTCATTTTTATTTTTGTTGTTATATTTCATTGTCTCAACAATATTTCTCCCCTAAATATACTGGATCTACCAGCACACTGGAGAATCATTTAAATAAGCATTATTTCTTTTGAAAGATGTTTAGTAACATGCAGCAAGTTTTGGAGTGGGGGGGCTATTTTTGGCTCTGTTATTTTTGTTAAATAACTTTTTGTTTAATTTAAAAGAGTGGGGGGGCTACAGTCCCCCAGCCCCTCCTCCTGCATGGTTCCTGTGTAGTACTATTACAGTTTTTAGACACTGATGACTAATCATATTGTAATACTATATACATTGATTAGTCGCATGATCCATCTTTCCACCCATCAAGCCATCGCTCATCAACCTTTGAACAGTCAAATTCTTTTTTTCCAAGCCTCCTGTTTACTTCATTGTGCATATGGCACATCCACTGACAAAAACTGTATCTGTTGCTTGTGTCAGGGGGGTGAGTTTGTAACCTAAATAAAAAAAATAAATAAATAAATAAAGATAAACAGTACACAATTTTCAGTAAAATGAAAAATCCAATGCTTGTATGGCTGCACTATGACAAATTTACCTTTCTCTAAGATGTGAAGCACAGTCTTCACAAGGATAAAATTTGGAAAATATTTTTACAAAACTAGCCATGTCATTTTGTTGTTGTTGGGAAGGATTGTCTGGATAATAAGCAGCCATGGTGTGAAGAAAGTTCCATGTTGATCGGCCAAGCTCTTGTCTATCAAGGGGACACTCTACACTGGATTCATCCTGAGATGCTGAGTCATGGCTTTGAGATGAGTTCTTGTTATTACTCTGGTAAAAAAAATAATAAATAAATAAAAAAATTCAACTTGTAAGAAGAGATAATTTCATAATACTAGAAAGTGAAAAACGGTAGAAAAGGAAATTTATAAGGAGAGAAGTTAAAAAGGAAGGAATGACAGGGGAGGGGTGACAGGAAAGATATAGGGGGAGATGAAGTAGAGAGAGGAGTGTGTGAGGAAGAATGAAACCAGAAGAGATGTCAGGAGGAAGGGGGGGGGGGGGGAACAAGAGGTTGTCATTCAACTCTACACTCTGACCACAAAGACCATAAGAGGCCTTAAAACAACAAGTTGGAGGTGTTATACTACTGCATTTGGCTCGAGTAGCACGGAAAGGGAAAAACACTGATCAATGTAGTCAGGCATCTGTTTAACAGGTCTTAACAGTGTCCCATTGATAGTTACGATTATGCTTGACTGAATATTAGCTGTTCACTATCCTTGGAAAGGTTAATGAGCAACCGACGGCTATTTGAGTGGAGCCGTAATTTCTTACCAAAATCGAAAATCACATATACCGGTAGCTATGCATGCGCTCGCATAATACTGTGGAAACGCTTTTGGTGATTTGAAATAGCTTCTGATGAGAATTGGGTTAAAAATTAAAATTAAGGGATTATTCGAGATTTCTGAGAAGAACTAAACCTAAAATTTGGGACAATCGAATAACATTTGTGCATGTGTAATGATGATGTAACCCAGGTGATGTAACATAATTTTTCCTTCACATCATGATGATGTTCTTCTTTCAAATATGTTATAGCTCTGATTCTTTTGATTTTGTGATGATCTAAAGACCTTACCATAGTACTTTTGTTTCTATTCCCTTGATTCATCCATGACTTGAAATCTCTACAAGCACGACAGGGCTTTTTACGATGCAGAGGAGACATGTCTTCGTCTGCCATCTTGACGGGGATTAATCACTACGTCATGTAAAAGTACATGACACAGCACTAACGAACAATTTGTGCGCCCGCGTTCCTTAGTACTGGGCAAACGGTAACAAAGGGCGGCTCCGACAGATCTTTGAGTTAGCTTTATGCCTTCCAATAATCATTATCCTTATTTTCTTCTTGGGGTTTACCTAACGCTATTAAAACCCACAAAATGTTAGGCTTTCAGTCGTATCACCGCGGTCTCTTGGTATCTCGTTGCTCCACGACCTTGTTTACGTGAAGCTAACGAAGTAAGTAACCAACATGTCACAGCCTTCATCCAAAAATATCCTTTTATCCTTCTTTTCTCGAGAGTTAAGCCGAAAAAAATTGACCGCACTTTTACACGCATGCTGTTGTGGACGTTAGCCGACGTCAATTTTCTCAGATTTGCATGACGACGCTATTTATGTACATCACGGTAATTGCGCAGTTTCACTTTCTACGGATAAATTATACGCGTGTGTGCACGTTATGTATCGGTAGCAAAAGTGGGGCAAAATATATAGATGTAAGTTATCTTCACACTCCCAAATTATATTTTAACCCTAGCCCAGTCGGATCTTCATTTTCGCGTAATTCCATCTTCATGCGTCAGCGGCCATTTGTTTTTGACCTTCCTCACCTGAACAGAGGAGAGAGTACCCACATTAAAGATTTATTCCCGTAATTGATCTCTGCAGAGTTCATCTTATCAAATTTCGCTAAATGAACTAAATATGCAAAAGTGTGTTTTTATATAATGTAGATACGTGAGACGCGTCTGTGGAAAGAGCGGGAATAATTTTTGTCCAAAAATAATTCAAGGTGTTCGTGCACCATTGCATTCTATTTTTCGCGCTTTAAACACTGCCGCACGATGATGTTTACGGCGGTGAAGCTCAGCCTTAAGTGTGTCTGAAAATTCTAAGAAATTTGATATATCACGGGCGACTCAATGTGGCAGCAATTTCTCCTCAGTAAAATATTAGTCAGTAATACACCTTCTCATGAAATTTCCGTCGTTTCTGCAATACCTTTTATGGTGAACTTGAAACTGTTGACATGGTAAATGATTCAATTGTTTCCCAACACTTAAACGCAGGATAAACTCGCCAATTTTTTTCTAGAATGAAATTGACACCCGGTAAGCATCATTTTTTACCACTGCCTAAATAGAGCGGGCAGAAGTCACTTATTTGTATGAAAAATCTAATGATTAAAATATTTTAAAAGAGATTTGACGCAAACATTTGAATAATAACCGAGATAAACACTTTCCACATTACAAATTAAATAGACTTTCTATTGTCTGTACACCAGCAGCTGCTGCGACAAGCAGACGCAACAACCATTTAAGTTCGAAACTGATATGCATCGGCAACCTAATTAAGAGATGTTTTATAAATGGGAAGTCTGTGTACGTATATATAATTTCGATCTTCTTCTCGCTGGAGGATACGTAATAAAACGACAGCGTTTGTAAGTGAAAAAAGCAATACATGTATTTTTTTCGCGCAAGCCGGTTTAACCAAATTAATTTACCCAAAATAAAGAGACTATTAATTAATTTGAAGTTTTTTCGCAAATATTCGTTTTGTGTGAATATGATTCACGCGCGACATTTTTGGCCGACTTCCCTGCGGCAACCATTGTGAAGATTTTACCCAAACTAGCAACAAACTGAAAAGGCGGAAAAAAAAACTTTGGACTCACCATGTGTTAAAAGCCTGCATAACACAGTAAGAAGGTCAGCTTTCTCAAACATTGGAGATGCAAGGTTAGCTGTTGAGGAGTGTTTGGGTCTGGTGAATAGCTAAGATAACAGAAAAATCTTTGCGTTCTGTAATCTACATCTACTAGTTATCATATCTACACTTCCTTATTCACAGATAGTATCGTTACCTGACTTGTTTTGCAACTTATTTTGTAGGCGTAGAACACATTGTAGTAATGGTATACTCGTAAGTTTGTAAGCGTGGCTGCAGCACTGAAAACGTGACACTTGTACGGTGAATAAGTTCTGGGCAGAAGCGATTCACAAAACGGACACATTGACTACGATTCTTTAAGCCCCGCAATGGAGAAGAACCTGCAATGGTGGACCGAGGTTGCAGTTATCATAACAGTATTCATCATAGGGCTTGTAGGAAACATATTTGTTCTTATCATAGTTAACGAGAGAAACGCTAGGAAGACAATTCATGGAACATTTGTTACAAGTCTCGCCATTGCAGATTTGGTTTTGCTGTGTCTGGATTCGCCTGTTTCTATTTTGCAACACTTCAGCCTTACGTCTGAAACATACAGCTGCAGAGTACATCTGACTGTTGTTACAACCGGATACAATGCAGGACTTTTCACCATCACAGTCATGGCGATCTATCGGTGCCATGTTGTAACAAATCCTTGGAGGCCAAAGCTAAAACGAAGAGGTGCAGTAATATGGGTGTCCTTCGTGTGGCTGGCAGCTTTTATTTTTGTTATTCCACTCATTGTTGTTGGTAAAATAACAAAAGATGGCAAATGTAAAGAATATTGGCCTTCCCTTGCTCATCGCCAGGCATACACCGTCTCACTCCTCACAGCACAGTATATTTTACCGCTGCTGATAATAGCAATTTGCTACATACGAATATGGCTTTTTATGAGAAATCGACCGGTGTTTCCGAGAAACAGCAATTTATTCACTAACAGACGAATCCTGGGAGTAAAAAATACAAGAGAGAGTATGATAATACTGAAAACCGTAGCAGTAATTGTGTTCTTGTTCTCGGTATTGTTGCTGCCAAATCAAGTCGCGTGGATGCTGTTGGATTTCAGAAATGTTTCCTATGAAGAGCTCTGGTTTGTTGCAGATATATTTTCAAGGCTCCATAGCTGTCTAAACCCAGTCGTTTATGGAGTGATGAATAAACAGTACCGTCGTAATTACGTCACGTTTTTAACACGCGCCCTGTACTACGGTCACGTGTCACGTGTCGCGCAGGCGCCAACATAGGATGAAAGATACATAGTTTATTCACTATCGCTCAGAAACTAAAAAATTGAATTACACGCTTATTAAAAAAGACGATATCAATAGTAGCATTAAAAAGAAGTATCAGTGGTATAAAGCAAGTTTTTATGGAAATATGTTTGTACATCTGTTACGGTTATAAATAAAATATTTCGATTAAATATAAAATTCTGACAAAATAATTTAGGCTTTAAGGGCATTAAAAGTGATAAAACTGTTAAGAAAGATTTCTGTCTTGAACACGGGCTTAAACTTCTGTTTGTTTCTAAAGTTCAAAGTACTTGTGCTACGAACAGGAAGAAGGTCGTGGAGCTTATTCTCTTCACTCTGAAGAAGTTATTGAATAATTTATAAAATAGTTCCTGACGGCGATCTGAAATTTATGTAGGCCTGATTCAGACAATGCCTCATTCTATGAGCAAAAGGGAAAGACGATGCGAATTACTCGCTCTTGTTCTCCTTCATTCTCGTTGGAAAGGTACGTAGGGAGACAAGACATGCATACTCTGTGATCGGTCAAATACAAGTGCAGAAAAACTGCTCTAACTCACGGGTACCCAGACCAGATCGTTTAAGTTATGTCACATTAATGATTTATGCCACTGGGGAGTCACGTGTCTCTTACACTCGTCTCACGTCACTGATGTCACCAAAAAGAGAAAAAGAAGAAACAAGAATCTAACAGCTGAGTGATCTCGTCATAGAGAAAAATATGCATTCACAGGGGCTATAATTCAAGGTGACAGAAACACACAAGCCTTTTTAAAATCCTGGAAAGAAAATAGCTGGCTATTTGCAGGATCAATTTATATCGGAAACAATAGCAGAAGTAAAAAGACTTTTTACAGAAGAAGTGCAGTTCTAAAGAAGTAGACGTTAAGATTCATTTTGTAGACTACAAGCAGTCCGATCTTTTTGGCGAAGTCCGTCGCGCGAGGAAAAAAATCTGTGAAAAGAAAATGATTTTAGTGCGCCACGGAACTCTAGAAGTGAGGTACGCAGACATCAATTATTTTTTCCACTGATCATTTCCCTTTACTTGCGCGTTGGACTTCGGCAAAAGGAGAGACTGCTCGTTGTCTATTCCTGCTCAAACCTGATTGAAAACTGTGCACGACTTGTATATTATTTGTAACGATCACTCGAAGCTCTAATCTTTGACATAAGCACCATCATGGTATTAACTTGTTCATAATCGGAAAGCAATGCAATATCGTTCTCTAATCTATTTATTAATGTGCGCTCATCTGCCTCAGCAAATTTAGACAAGCATATATATGAGAACTTAATTGTCAACCTTCTTGTCTTATATCTTAAATGTACATAATGTTTGTTGAGTTAAATCTGGTTTAAATATCAGTTATTTCTTTAACTTTCCAAATAAAATTAACTCATTGATTCGTATATTTCAGTTACATCTGTTGATAAGGGCTAAATTTTGAAGATATTATTTTCAACCGAAGTATTAACAAAAATCTAAATGAACGCAAATTGTAACTACATTACAATCACTTTATATAAATATTCCTTAGAGTTCAATATTGAAGCCTTGATTTTCCTGTTTCATAATGAAATGGCGCATCGGTGCAGGGGAATGGGATTTATAAGAAATTGTCCTAAGGCCCGGATATGGATTGATTCTCTAAAATGGAAAAGCGGGGCTATACGACTCAATTAAATACAAAGGGCTCATAAGTTCATAGCAAGGAGTTCTCTGTATAAACTGATGAATGAGTCATTCATTTTTCAATATCTTTTCATGAACTAATCTTACTTCGTTACAAAAGCTATTACTTTTCGCCTCAGTCTCCCTGCCGACAGGCATCTAATTTTTTCTTGGTTGACTTTTTTTAAAACAATTGTGGAACAAGAGATTAAGGAATAACTTAAGAAAATCGTGTTTCCGACTGTCTGGCCTTTAAACATTGTCCTTAGCCCGTTGAAACTCAAATTAGTCTCTTATATCTTAGTTTATTCCAATCATTTTACCCGACTCAGCGCTGTAAAGTCGAGTTCAAGTCCTCTCGCGGCCTATAAAAACTGTTTTTCGTAACATGATCGTGTCTTTTCTATAATTTTTTTGGTAAAAAATCAAAGCCTATTGTAACTTATTACGTATGGTGAATGAGACACCGTTCTTAAAATAGCTGCGCAGTATTACTTCGAATTAAATTTAGACTGTGAAATATGTCACTGGGAGGATGCTTGTTTCAGGACGACTTCTCTTAGTTCATGAACTAAGTTTTACTCTTTCCCTTTAGATTTTTCAGGTGAAAAAACCATCTTCGATTCTTCAGGAGCCTCACGGTTTCTTCCAGTGTATCCGAAATTCTAGGCGGGTCCTACAGTTGCAGTTCGCCGCATCAAACATGGAGAAAGCAAAAGTACCTTGATACATCTCCTAAACTGTCTGCTCTGAAAACAGTAGATGATCGGATTAACAGCTGAGTTTAAAGTTACTAGGAGAACGGTTGTCGTGTGAACTATGTCGCCTGCAGAGTTTAACCCATAGAAATCAAGAACATAGGCAATGAGATTGGGAAGCCAACATACTGCGCAAACAACTGTCACGGTCAAGACCATTTTCGTGACACGTTTGCGTGACTTGATGACGGCGCGCTGTGATTGTTCTACCGGTTGCGAACTTGTGACCCAGAGTTTAAAAACCACTCGGCTGTAAAGAAGGGTCATAACAGACAACGGTAAAATTCCGACTACAATGAGCCATCCAAGGCTATAAGCATTGAAATACCAACCAGAGGGCCAATCCTCGAGGCAAAAATCTAAATCCTCGTTGTATTTTTTTATCACATATACTGGAAGATTCCAGAGGATTGAAAACAGCCAACAGGTAGGTATGATGAATTTGAGTTTGGCCTTTGTGATACGTTTTTTCTCGTCGTGTGGGTACAACACCGCAAAATATCTTTCAACTGCAACAGCAATCAGTGATACCACCGAGACCACGGCCCCGGTCCATAACAGGTTCCCTCCGGTTAGGAACTTGCAGAGGTAGTCCCGGTGTGCCCCGTCGGGTGTTGGTTGGTACGTGTGAATTAGGATATACCGAGGGATCAAAATATAGCTACCACCATATCCGCGCAGGCGAGATTCACCAACAAATAATTCATGGCGCTTCTCATTAGCCGGTTTCTCAGGACAACAAGACAGACCAGAGAGTTACTGACGAGGCTGATTAGCACAAGAAACGAGAAAGCCACACGAAGGCTGATTTCCGCCGCTTCTGTGTCAGTGAAAAGCGACATGGCGTTTTTGAAACCAATACTTTGCTAAGCAAATCAGATCTGAAAATAACAAGGAAACGAATGGTTAATAATGTTTTTGCCTTAGTGTTCAGAATAAACATTCTACGCTAAGTAAATCATGGGTTCTATGAAGTTATGTTTTATTTGGTCGATTCATGGGATAACTAACATCAAGAGAGGATAAGGCTCTCTTGTTAATAAACATTTTTCTGCTCTAACGTGTTTCCAAAGGCATCACCTTAACAAAACCAAGAAGATTAGCATGCGGAAAGTTACGCGTAAACTAAAGTTCTGCGCCATCCGCTGTCTGAGTTGACAAAAAAAATTTCAACACATAAACCAGTTAAAAAAATTGATGATTTATTATTGTTTACACGAACTTTAGAGCTCCTTTACTCGAGAATAGGTTTTCTCATGTTCAGTGAAGTAATCACTGTGCCGCTTTTTTACTTCAGCATTTAGTATTTTTTAAACAATACTCTTTTGTGTAATTTATATTCGAGTTAGAGATGCTCTCCACATCGTCAAACAGTCCTGAAACACGAAATGTTAAGTTGAGTCCGACCAGTTCCCGCAAAGAAGAGAAGCGTTTGAATCAGACTGCTGTAACATGTGTCTTAGCTCTGACGAAAAAGAAAAGCCACCTTTAGAAAATTTTCACGGTGGTCAATTTACATTGGGCTTTTTCTCCGGAAAGTAAAGCGCGGCTGGCGCCAAAAATTGACCTCATTTGCACATGCCTTAGTTTTGGCGGCTGTGTTGTTTTAGACACCAATAGATATTTTTACATTTTTGAAAAGTAGTATGCTGAAGCTGTTAACTACAAGGCTTCTCTCAAAGTGGATCTCATTAACGTCAAGCTCCTTTAAGCATCACGCAAGTTTTATTATACAAATACACCAGCTTGCTTTTCTAGAACAAACAAATTCTGTAGCAAGAAAATACTTTAAATTTTGATCACTCATTCTTGATCTGCTTACCTTTTGTAGAATGTGTAAAATATAAAATGTTCTGGTGTTACAGGGAACTGTTGAACAGAGATGATTGCAAAGCGAAACTGAGAAACGCAAATTGTGAAGATAATGTTCGCTTGAGGAAATTAAAGGGGGGCGTCAATACAATTGATTACTATGCTTACAGATGTGAACAAGCTGTCACTTCTTTACAATAGCGTGCTCAAATATTGATTAAATGCGGTGGCTATTAAAACGTCATGTTAAATACAGGCTCTTTTAATTGGTCCAGCAATGGACTAAAGCTGGGTGTAGCTGCTTTTTTCCAGCTTCTATAGTTTTTAAGGGGTAGAAAAAATTAATAAAAAAAGCTTTCGGTAGTTAACAATAGAAGAAAATGAAGCTCAGTCTTAAGTGTGTCTGAAAATTCTAAGAAATTTGATATATCACGGGCGACTCAATATGGCAGCATTTTCACCTCAGTATTTAAAATCTTCATATGCACCATGAAACTTCCCGTCGTTTCTGCAGTAACTTTTATCGTGAACTTAAAACTTTTGACATGATAAATAATTCAATTGTGTCCCAACACTTAGACGCTGTCATTTTCTTGAATGAAATTAATACTCGGCAAGCATTATCTATTACCACCGGCTAAATAGAGCAGGCAAAAGTCACTTATTTGTATAACAAATCTAATGATTAAAACATTAAAAAGGGATTTGACGCAAACTCTTGAATAGTAACCAAGATGAACACTTTCCACATTACAAATTAATAGGACTTTCAATTGTCTGTACATCAGCAGCTGCTGCGACAGGCAGACGCAACAACCATTTAAGTTCGAAACTGATATGCACGGCAACCTAATAAAGGGATGTTTTATAAATGGGCAGTCTGTGTACGTATTTATAATAACAATCTTCTTCTCGCTGGAGGATACGTAGTAAAACGACAGCTTTTGTAAGTGGGAAAAGCAATACATGTATTTTTTTCGCGCAGGCCGGTTTAACCAAATTAATTTACCCAAGATAAAACGACTAGTAATTAATTTGAAGTTTTTTCGCAAATATTCGTTTTATGTGAATATGATTCACGCGCAACATTTTTGGCCGACTTCCCTGCGGCAACCATTGTGAAGATTTTACCCAAACTAGCAACGAACTGAAAAGGTGAAAAAAAACTTTGGACTCACCATGTGTTAAAAGCCTGTATAACGCTGTTCAAACATTGTGGGTCTGGTTAATAGCTGAGATAACAGAAATATCCTTGCGTTCTGTAATCTACATCTACCAGTTATCATATCTACACTTCCTTATTCACAGATTGTATCATTAACTGACTTGTTTTGCAACTTATTTTGTGGGCGTAGAACACATTGTAGTAATGGTATACTCGTAGGTTTGTGAGCGTGGCTGCAGCACTGAAAACGTGACACATGTACTGTGAATAAGTTTTGGGCAGAAACGATCCACAAAACGAACGCATTGACCACGACTCTTTAAGCCCCGCAATGGAGAAGAACTTGCAATGGTGGACCGAGGTTGCAGTTATCATAACAGTATTCATCATAGGGCTTGTAGGAAACATACTTGTTCTTATCACAGTTCATCAGAGAAACGCTAGGAAGACAATTCATGGAACATTTGTTATAAGTCTGGCTATTGCAGATTTGGTTTTGCTGTGTTCGGACTCGCCTGTTTCTATTTTACAACACTTCAGCCTTACGTCTGAAACATACAACTGCAGAGTACATCTGACTGTTGTTACAACCGGATACAATGCAGGACTTTTCACCATCACATCCATGGCGATCTATCGGTGCCATGTTGTAAAAAATCCTTGGAGGCCAAAGCTAAAACGAAGAGGTGCAGTAATATGGGTGTCTTTCGTGTGGCTGGCAGCTTTTATTTTTGTTATTCCACTCATTGTTGTTGGTAAAATAACAAAAGATGGCAAATGTAAAGAAGATTGGCCTTCTCTTGCTCATCGCCAGGCATACACCGTCTCTCTCCTCACAGCACAGTATATTTTACCGCTGCTGATTACAGCAATTTGCTACATACGAATATGGCTTTTTATGAGAAATCGACCGGTGTTTCCGAGAAACAGCAATTTATTCACTAACAGACGGATCCCAGGAGAAGAAAATACAAGAGAGAGTGTGATAATACTGAAAACCGTGGCAGTAATTGTGTTCTTGTTTTTGGTGTTGTTGTTGCCTAATCAAGTCGCGTGGATGCTGTTGGATTTCAGAAATGTTTCCTATGAAGAACTTTGGTTTGTTGCAGATATACTAACAAGACTCCATAGCTGTCTAAACCCAGTCGTCTATGGGTGATGAATAAACAGTACCGCCGTAGTTACGTCACGTTTTTAACACGCACCCTGTGCTACCGTCACGTGTCACGTGTCGCGCAGGCGCCAACATAGGATAAAAGATAAAGATGAAAGATACATAGTTTATTCACAATCGCTTTGCAACTAGAAATTGAATTACACGCTTATTACAAAAAATGATATCAATAGTAAGATTAAATAGAACTATAAGTGGTTTAAAGCAAGTTTTTACGAAAATTTGTTTTTACATCTGTTTTGGTTATAAATGAAATATGTCGATTAAATCTAAAATTCTATTAAAATAGGTTTAGGCTTTAAGGGCATTAAAAGTGATAAAACTGTTAAGAAATCTTTTTGTCTTGAACACGCGCTTACACTTCCGTTTATTTTTAAGGTTCAAAGTACTTGTGTTACGAGCAGGAAGAAGGTCATTGAGCTTATTCTCTTCGCTCTGAATAATTTTATTGGGTAGTTTGTCAAATAATTCCTGACGGCGATCTGAAGTTTATTTAGGCCTGATTCAGCCAATGTCCCATTGTATGAGCAAAAGGGAAAGATGATGCGCATTGCTCGCTTTTGTACTCCTTCAATCTCGTTGGGAAGGTATGTTGGGAGACCATCATGGGAGACAGGACATGCGTTCTTCGTGATCGGACTAATACAAGTGCTGAAAAGCTGCTCCAACTCACGGATATCAAGACCAGATCGTTTAAGTTATGTCACAGTAATAATTTATGGCAATGGACAGTTATGTGTCTATTAAACTTATCTTACGTCACTGACGTCACCAAAAATAGAAAAAGAAAAAACAAGAACCTAACAGCTGAGTGATCTCGTCATAGAGACAAATATTTATGCATTCACAGGGACTATAATTCAAGACGATAGAGGCCAGTTTGATGACTGAAACATCCACTAGCCTTTTAAAAGCCTGTAAAGAAAATAACTGGCTATATTCAGGATTAATTTATATCGGAAACAATAGCAGAAGTAAAAAGACTTTTACATAAGAAGTGCAGTTATAAAGTAGTAGACTTTAAGATTCATTTTGTAGGCTACAAGCAGTCTGATCTTTTCGGCGAAGTCCGTCACGCGAGGAAAAAAAGAATCTGTGAAAAGAAAAATGATTTTAGTGCGCCACGGAACTCTAGAAGTGAGGTACGCAGACATCGATTTTTTTCCACTGAGTTTATTCCTTTACTTGCGCGATGGACTTCGGCGAAAAGGAGGGACTGCTCATTGTCTATTCCTCCTGAAACCTGATTGAAAACTGTGCGCGACTTGTGTAGTATTTGTAACGATCACTCGAAGTTCTTATATTTGACATAAGCACCATCATGGCATTAACTTGTTCATAATCGGAAAGCAATGCAATACGGTTCTCTAATGTATTTACTAATATGCGCTCGTCTGGCTTAGCAAATTTAGGCAAGCGTATATATGAGAACTTAATTGTCAACCTTCTTGTCTTATATCTTAAATGTACATAATTTTTGTTGAGTTAAATTTGGTTTCAATATCAGTTATTTCTTTAACTTTCCAAATAAAATTAACTTATTTATTCGTATATTTCAGTTACATCTGTTGATAAGGGCTAAATAAGATATTATTTTCAACCGAAGTGTTACCAAAAATCTAAATGAACGCAAATTGTAACTACATTACAATCACTTTATATAAATATTCCTTAGAGTTCAATATTGAAGCCTTGATTTTCCTGTTTCATAATGAAATGGCGCCTTAATGTCTTAAGGCCCGGATATGGATTGATTCTCTAAAATGGAAAAGCGGGGCTATACGACTCAATTAAATACAAAGGGCTCATGAGTTCATAGCAAGGAGTTCTCTGTATAAACTGATGAATGAGTCATTCATTTTTCAATATATTTTCATGAACTAATCTTACTTCGTTACAAAAGCTATTACCTTTCGCCTCAGTCTCCCTGCCGACAGGCATCTAATTTTTTCTTGGTTGACATTTTTTTTAAAACAAGTGTGAAACAAGAGATTAAGGAATAACTTAAGAAAATCGTGTTTCCGACTGCCTGGCCTTTAAACATTGTCCTTAGCCCGGTGAAACTCAAATTAGTCTCTTATATCTTAGTTTATTCCAATCATTTTATCCGACTCAGCGCTGTAAAGTCGAGTTCAAGTCCTCTCGCGGCCTATTAAAACTGTTTTTCGTAACATGATCAGTCTTTTCTATAATTTTTTTGGTAAAAAATCAAAGCCTATTGTAACTTATTACGTATGTTTAATGAGACACCGTTCTTAAAATAGCTGCGCAGTATGACTTCGAATTAAATTTAGACTGTGAAATATGTCACTGGGAGGATGCTTGTTTCAGGACGACTTCTCTTAGTTCATCAACTAAGTTTTACTCTTTCCCTTTAGATTTTTCAGGTGAAAAACCCATCTTCAATTCTTCAGGAGCCTCACGGTTTCTTCCAGTGTATCGGAAATTCTAGGCGGGTCCTACAGTTGCAGTTCGCCGCATCGAACATGGAGAAAGCAAAAGTACCTTGACACATCTCCTAAACTGTCTGCTCTGAAAACAGTAGATGATCGGATTAACAGCTGAGTTTAAAGTTACTAGGACAACGGTTGTCGTGTGAACTATGTCGCCTTGAGAGTTTAACCCATAGAAACCAAGAACATAGGCAATGAGACAGGGAAGCCAACATACTGCGCAAACAACTGTCACGGTCAAGACCATTTTCGTGACACGTTTGCGTGACTTGATGACGGCGCGCTGTGATTGTTCTACCGGTTGCGAACTTGAGACCCAGAGTTTAAAAACCACTCGGCTGTAAAGAAGCGTCATAACAGACAACGGTAAAATTCCGACTACAATGAGCCATCCAAGGCTATAAGCATTCAAATACCAACCAGAGGGCCAATCCTCGAGGCAAAAATCTAAATCCTCGTTGTATTTCACCAACACATATACTGGAAGATTCCAGAGGATTGAAAACAGCCAACAGGCAGGTATGATGAATTTGAGTTTGGCCTTTGTGATACGTTTTTTCTCGTCGTGTGGGTACAACACCGCAAAATATCTTTCAACTGCAACAGCAATCAGTGACACCACCGAGACCACGGCCCCGGTCCATAACAGGTTCCCTCCGGTTAGGAACTTGCAGAGGTAGTCCCCGGTGTGCCCCGTCGGGTGTTGGTACGTGTGAATTAGGATATACCGAGGGATCACAAATATAGCTATCCGCGCAGGCGAGATTCACCAACAAATAATTCATGGCGCTTCTCATGAGCCGGTTTCTCAGGACAACAAGACAGACCAGAGAGTTACTGACGAGGCTGATTAGCACAAGAAACGAGAAAGCCACACGAAGGCTGATTTCCGCCGCTTCTGTGTCAGTGAAAAGCGACATGGTGTTTTTGAAACCAATACTTTGCTGAGCAAATCAGATCTGAAAATAACAAGGAAACGAATGGTTAATAATGTTTTTGCCTTAGTGTTCAGAATAAACATTCTACGCTAAGTAAATCATAGGTTCTATGAAGTTCTGTTTTATTTGGTCGATTCATGGGATAACTAACATCAAGAGAGGATAAGGCTCTCTTGTTAATAAACATTTTTCTGCTCTAACGTGTTTCCAAAGGCATCACCTTAACAAAACCAAGAAGATTAGCATGTGGAAAGTTACGTGTAAACTAAGGTTCTGCGCCATCCGCTGTCTGAGTTGACAAAACAAATTTCAACACATAAACCAGTTAAAAAAATTGATGATTTATTATTGTTTACATGAACCTTAGAGCTCCTTTGCTCGAGAACAGGTTTTCTCATGTTCAGTGAAGTAATCACTGTGCCGCTTTTATACTTCAGCATTTAGCATTTTTTAAACAATACTCTTTTATGTAATTTATATTCGAGTTAGAGATGCTCTCCACATCGTCAAACAGTCCTGAAACACGAAATGTTAAGTTGAGTCCGACCAGTTCCCGCAAAGAAGAGAAGCGTTTGAATCAGACTGCTGTAACATGTGTCTTAGCTCTGACGAAAAAGAAAAGCCACCTTTAGAAAATTTTCACGGTGGTCAATTTACATTGGGCTTTTTCTCCGGAAAGTAAAGCGCGGCTGGCGCCAAATATTGACCTCATTTGCACATTTGGCCGCTGTGTTGTTTTAGACACCAATAGATATTTTTACATTTTTGAAAAGTAGTATGCTGAAGCTGTTAACTACAAGGCTTCTCTCGAAGTGGATCTCATTAACGTCAAGCTCCTTTAAGCATCACGCAAGTTTTATTATACAAATACACCAGCTTGCTTTTCTAGAACAAACAAATTCTGTAACAAGAAAATACTTTAAATTTTGATCACTCATTCTTGATCTGCTTACCTTTTGTAGAATGTGTAAAATATAAAATGTTCTGGTGTAACAGGGAACTGTTGAACAGAGATGATTGCAAAGCGAAACTGAGAAAAGCAAATTGTGAAGATAATGTTCGCTTGAGAAAATTAAAGAGGGCGTCAATAAGATTGATTACTATGCTTACAGATGTGAACAAGCTGTCACTTCTTTACAATAGCGTGCTCAAATATTGATTAAATGCAGTGGCTATTAAAACGTCACGTTAAATACAGGCTCTTTTAATTGGTCCAGCAATGGACTAAAGCTGGGTGTAGCTGCTTTTTTCCAGCTTCTATGGTTTTTAAGAGGTAGAAAAATTGAAAAAAAAGCTTTCGGAAGTTGACAATAGAAAAAAAATGAAGCTCAGTCTTAAATGTGTCTGAAAATTCTAAGAAATTTGATATATCACGGGCGACTCAATATGGCAGCATTTTCACCTCAGTATTTAAAATCTTCATATGCACCATGAAACTTCCCGTCGTTTCTGCAGTAACTTTTTTCGTAAACTTAAAACTTTTGACATGATAAATAATTCAATTGTGTCCCAACACTTAGACGCTGTCATTTTCTTGAATGAAATTAATACTCGGCAAGCATCATCTATTACCACCGGCTAAATAGAGCAGGCAAAAGTCACTTATTTGTATAACAAATCTAATGATTAAAACATTAAAAAGGGATTTGACGCAAACTTTTGAATAGAAACCAAGATGAACACTTTCCATATTACAAATTAATAGGACTTTCAATTGTCTGTACTTCAGCAGCTGCTGCGACAGGCAGACGCAACAACCATTTAAGTTCGAAACTGATATGCACGGCAACCTAATAAAGGGATGTTTTATAAATGGGCAGTCTGTGTACTTATTTATAATAACAATCTTCTTCTCGCTGGAGGATACGTAGTAAAACGACAGCTTTTGTAAGTGGGAAAAGCAATACATGTATTTTTTCGCGCAGGCCGTTTTAACCAAATTAATTTACCCAAGATAAAACGACTAGTAATTAATTTGAAGTTTTTTCGCAAATATTCGTTTTATGTGAATATGATTCACGCGCAACATTTTTGGCCGACTTCCCTGCGGCAACCATTGTGAAGATTCTGCCCAAACTAGCAACGAACTGAAAAGGTGAAAAAAAACTTTGGACTCACCATGTGTTAAAAGCCTGTATAACGCTGTTCAAACATTGTGGGTCTGGTTAATAGCTGAGATAACAGAAATATCCTTGCGTTCTGTAATCTACATCTACCAGTTATCATATCTACACTTCCTTATTCACAGATAGTATCATTAACTGACTTGTTTTGCAACTTATTTTGTGGGCGTAGAACACATTGTAGTAATGGTATACTCGTAGGTTTGTGAGCGTGGCTGCAGCACTGAAAACGTGACACATGTACTGTGAATAAATTTTGGGCAGAAACGATCCACAAAACGAACGCATTGACCACGACTCTTTAAGCCCCGCAATGGAGAAGAACCTGCAATGGTGGACCGAGGTTGCAGTTATCATAACAGTATTCATCATAGGGCTTGTAGGAAACATATTTGTTCTCATTATAGTTAACGAGAGAAACGCTAGGAAGACAATTCATGGAACATTTGTTATAAGTCTGGCTATTGCAGATTTGGTTTTGCTGTGTTCGGACTCGCCTGTTTCTATTTTACAACACTTCAGCCTTACGTCTGAAACATACAACTGCAGAGTACATCTGACTGTTGTTACAACCGGATACAATGCAGGACTTTTCACCATCACATCCATGGCGATCTATCGGTGCTATGTTGTAACAAATCCTTGGAGGCCAAAGCTAAAACGAAGAGGTGCAGTAATATGGGTGTCTTTCGTGTGGCTGACAGCTTTTATTTTTGTTATTCCACTCATTGTTGTTAGTAAAATAACAAAAGATGGCAAATGTAAAGAAGATTGGCCTTCCCTTGCTCATCGCCAGGCATACACCGTCTCACTCCTCACAGCACAGTATATTTTACCGCTGCTGATTACTGCAATTTGCTACACACGAATATGGCTTTTTATGAGAAATCGACCGATGTTTCCGAGAAACAGCAATTTATTCACTAACAGACGGATCCCACAAGAAGAAAATACAAGAGAGAGTGTGATAATACTGAAAACCGTGGCAGTAATTGTGTTCTTGTTTTTGGTGTTGTTGTTGCCTAATCAAGTCGCGTGGATGCTGTTGGATTTCAGAAATGTTTCCTATGAAGAACTTTGGTTTGTTGCAGATATACTAACAAGACTCCATAGCTGTCTAAACCCAGTCGTCTATGGGGTGATGAATAAACAGTACCGCCGTAGTTACGTCACGTTTTTAACACGCACCCTGTGCTACCGTCACGTGTCACGTGTCGCGCAGGCGCCAACATAGGATAAAAGATAAAGATGAAAGATACATAGTTTATTCACAATCGCTTTGCAACTAGAAATTGAATTACACGCTTATTACAAAAGATAATATCAATAGTAGCATTAACTAGAACTATCAGTGGTTTAAAGCAAGTTTTTACGAAAATTTGTTTTACATCTGTTTTGGTTATAAATGAAATATGTCGATTAAATCTAAAATTCTATTAAAATAGGTTTAGGCTTTAAGGGCATTAAAAGTGATAAAACTGTTAAGAAATCTTTTTGTCTTGAACACGCGCTTAAACTTCCGTTTATTTTTAAGGTTCAAATTACTTGTGTTACGAGCAGGAAGAAGGTCATGGAGCTTATTCTCTTCGCTCTGAATAATCTTATCGAGTGATTTGTCAAATAATTCCTGACGGCGATCTGAAGTTTATTTAGGCCTGATTCAGCCAATGTCTCAGGGAAAGATGATGCGCATTGCTCGCTTTTGTACTCCTTCAATCTCGTTGGAAAGGTACGTGGGGAGACCGTCATGGGAGACAGGACATGCATTCTCCGTGATCGAACTAATACAAGTGCTGAAAAGCTGCTCCAACTCACGGATACCAAGACCAGATCGTTTAAGTTATGTCACAGTAATAATTTATGGCAATGGACAGTTATGTGTCTATTAAACTTATCTTACGTCACTGACGTCACCAAAAATAGAAAAAGAAAAAACAAGAACCTAACAGCTGAGTGATCTCGTCATAGAGACAAATATTTATGCATTCACAGGGGCTATAATTCAAGATGATAGAGGCCAGTTTGATGACTGAAACATCCACTAGCCTTTTAAAAGCCTGTAAGGAAAATAACTGGCTATATTCAGGATTAATTTATATCGGAAACAATAGCAGAAGTAAAAAGACTTTTACATAAGAAGCGCAGTTATAAACTAGTAGACTTTAAGATTCACTTTGTAGACTACAAGCAGTCTGATCTTTTCGGCGAAGTTCGTCACGCGAGGAAAATAAGCATCTGTGAAAAGAAAAATGATTTTAGTGCGCCACGGAACTCTAGAAGTGAGGTGCGCAGACATCCGTTTTTTCTACTGATTTTATTCCTTTACTTGCGCGATGGACTTCGGCGAAAAGGGGGGGACTGCTCGTTGTCTATTCCTCCTGAAACCTGATTGAAAACTGTGCGCGACTTGTGTAGTATTTGTAACGATCACTCGAAGTTCTTATCTTTGACATAATCTCCATCATGGTATTAACCTGTTCATAATCGGAAAGCAATGCAATTCCGTTCTCTCATGTATTTACTAATATGCGCTCGTCTGGCTTAGCAAATTAAGACAAGCGTATATATGAGAACTTAATTGTCAACATTCTTGTCTTATATCTTAAATGTACATAACTTTTGTTGAGTTAAATTTGGTTTAAATATCAGTTATTTCTTTAACTTTCCAAATAAAATTAACTCATCGATTAGTATATTTCAGTTACATCTGTTGATAAGGGCTAAATAAGATATTATTTTCAACCGAAGTGTTACCAAAAAACTGAATGAACGCAAATTGTAACTACATTACAATCACTTTATATAAATATTCCTTAGAGTTCAATATTGAAGCTTTGATTTTCCTGTTTCATGATGAAATGGCGCCTTAATGTCTTAAGGCCCGGATATGGATTGATTCTCTAAAATGGAAAAGCGGGGCTATACGACTCAATTAAATACAAAGGGTTCATGAGTTCATAGCAAGGAGTTCTCTGTATAAACTGATGAATGAGTCATTCATTTTTCAATATCTTTTCATGAACTAATCTTACTTCGTTTCAAAAGCTATTACCTTTCGCCTCAGTCTCCCTGCCGACAGGCATCTAATTTTTTCTTAGTTGACATTTTTTTTAAAACAAGTGTGAAACAAGAGATTAAGGAATAACTTAAGAAAATCGTGTTTCCGACTGCCTGGCCTTTAAACATTGTCCTTAGCCCGGTGAAACTCAAATTAGTCTCTTATATCTTAGTTTATTCCAATCATTTTATCCGACTCAGCGCTGTAAAGTCGAGTTCAAGTCCTCTCGCGGCCTATTAAAACTGTTTTTCGTAACATGATCAGTCTTTTCTATAATTTTTTTGGTAAAAAATCAAAGCCTATTGTAACTTATTACGTATGTTTAATGAGACACCGTTCTTAAAATAGCTGCGCAGTATGACTTCGAATTAAATTTAGACTGTGAAATATGTCACTGGGAGGATGCTTGTTTCAGGACGACTTCTCTTAGTTCATCAACTAAGTTTTACTCTTTCCCTTTAGATTTTTCAGGTGAAAAACCCATCTTCAATTCTTCAGGAGCCTCACGGTTTCTTCCAGTGTATCGGAAATTCTAGGCGGGTCCTACAGTTGCAGTTCGCCGCATCGAACATGGAGAAAGCAAAAGTACCTTGACACATCTCCTAAACTGTCTGCTCTGAAAACAGTAGATGATCGGATTAACAGCTGAGTTTAAAGTTACTAGGACAACGGTTGTCGTGTGAACTATGTCGCCTTGAGAGTTTAACCCATAGAAACCAAGAACATAGGCAATGAGACAGGGAAGCCAACATACTGCGCAAACAACTGTCACGGTCAAGACCATTTTCGTGACACGTTTGCGTGACTTGATGACAGCGCGCTGTGATTGTTCTACCGGTTGCGAACTTGAGACCCAGAGTTTAAAAACCACTCGGCTGTAAAGAAGCGTCATAACAGACAACGGTAAAATTCCGACTACATTGAGCCATCCAAGGCTATAAGCATTGAAATACCAACCAGAGGGCCAATCCTCGAAGCAAAAATCTAAATCCTCGTTGTATTTCACCAACACATATACTGGAAGATTCAAGAGGATTGAAAACAGCCAACAGGCAGGTATGATGAATTTGAGTTTGGCCTTTGTGATACGTTTTTTCTCGTCGTGTGGGTACAACACCGCAAAATACCTTTCAACTGCAACAGCAATCAGTGATACCACTGAGACCACGGCCCCGGTCCATAACAGGTTCCCTCCGGTTAGGAACTTGCAGAGGTAGTCCCCGGTGTGCCCCGTCGGGTGTTGGTACGTGTGAATTAGGATATACCGAGGGATCACAAATATAGCTACCACCATATCCGCGCAGGCGAGATTCACCAACAAATAATTCATGGCGCTTCTCATTAGCCGGTTTCTCAGGACAACAAGACAGACCAGAGAGTTACTGACGAGGCTGATTAGCACAAGAAACGAGAAAGCCACACGAAGGCTGATTTCCGCCGCTTCTGTGTCAGTGAAAAGCGACATGGTGTTTTTTTGAAACCAATACTTTGCTGAGCAAATCAGATCTGAAAATAACAAGGAAACGAATGGTTAATAATGTTTTTGCCTTAGTGTTCAGAATAAACATTCTACGCTAAGTAAATCATGGGTTCTATGAAGTTCTGTTTTATTTGGTCGATTCATGGGATAACTAACATCAAGAGAGGATAAGGCTCTCTTGTTAATAAACATTTTTCTGCTCTAACGTGTTTCCAAAGGCATCACCTTAACAAAACCAAGAAGATTAGCATGCGGAAAGTTACGTGTAAACTAAGGTTCTGCGCCATCCGCTGTCTGAGTTGACAAAAAAAATTTCAACACATAAACCAGTTAAAAAAATTGATGATTTATTATTGTTTACACGAACCTTAGAGCTCCTTTGCTCGAGAACAGGTTTTCTCATGTTCAGTGAAGTAATCACTGTGCCGCTTTTATACTTCAGCATTTAGTATTTTTTAAACAATACTCTTTTGTGTAATTTATATTCGAGTTAGAGATGCACATCACATCGTCAAACAGTCCTGAAACACGAAATGTTAAGTTGAGTCCGACCAGTTCCCGCAAAGAAGAGAAACGTTTGAATCAGACTGCTGTAACATGTGTCTTAGCTCTGACGAAAAAGAAAAGCCACCTTTAGAAAATTTTCACGGTGGTCAATTTACATTGGGCTTTTTCTCCGGAAAGTAAAGCGCGGCTGGCGCCAAAAATTGACCTCATTTGCACATGCCGTAGTTTTGGCCGCTGTGTTGTTTTAGACACCAATAGATATTTTTGATCTGCTTACCTTTTGTAGAATGTGTAAAATATAAAATGTTCTTGTGTAACAGGGAACTGTTGAACAGAGATGATTGCAAAGCGAAACTGAGAAAAGCAAATTGTGAAGATAATGTTCGCTTGAGAAAATTAAAGAGGGCGTCAATAAGATTGATTACTATGCTTACAGATGTGAACAAGCTGTCACTTCTTTAGAATAGCGTGCTCAAATATTGATTAAATGCAGTGGCTATTAAAACGTCACGTTAAATACAGGCTCTTTTAATTGGTCCAGCAATGGACTAAAGCTGGGTGTAGCTGCTTTTTTCCAGCTTCTATGGTTTTTAAGAGGTAGAAAAATTGAAAAAAAGCTTTCGGAAGTTGACAATAGAAAAAAAATGAAGCTCAGTCTTAAATGTGTCTGAAAATTCTAAGAAATTTGATATATCACGGGCGACTCAATATGGCAGCATTTTCACCTCAGTATTTAAAATCTTCATATGCACCATGAAATTTCCCGTCGTTTCTGCAGTAACTTTTTTCGTAAACTTAAAACTTTTGACATGATAAATATTTCAATTGTGTCCCAACACTTAGACGCTGTCATTTTCTTGAATGAAATTAATACTCGGCAAGCATCATCTATTACCACCGGCTAAATAGAGCAGGCAAAAGTCACTTATTTGTATAACAAATCTAATGGTTAAAACACTAAAAAGGGATTTGACGCAAACTTTTGACTAGTAACCAAGATGAACACTTTCCATATTACAAATTAATAGGACTTTCAATTGTCTGTACATCAGCGGCTGCTGCGACAGGCAGACGCAACATTTAAGTTCGAAACTGATATGCATCGGCAACCTAATTAAGGGATGTTTTATAAATGGGCAGTCTGTGTACTTATTTATAATAACAATCTTCTTCTCGCTGGAGGATACGTAGTAAAACGACAGCTTTTGTAAGTGGGAAAAGCAATACATGTATTTTTTCGCGTAAGCCGGTTTAACCAAATTAATTTACCCAAGATAAAGAGACTAGTAATTAATTTAAATTTTTTTCGCAAATATTCGTTTTATGTGAATATGATTCACGCGCAACATTTTTGGCCGACTTCCCTGCGGCAACCATTGTGAAGATTTTTACCCAAACTAGCAACGAACTGAAAAGGCGGAAAAAAACTTTGGACTCACCATGTGTTAAAAGCCTGTATAACACTGTTCAAACATTGTGGGTCTGGTTAATAGCTGAGATAACAGAAATATCCTTGCGTTCTGTAATCTACATCTACCAGTTATCATATCTACACTTCCTTATTCACAGATTGTATCATTAACTGACTTGTTTTGCAACTTATTTTGTGGGCGTAGAACACATTGTAGTAATGGTATACTTGTAGGTTTGTGAGCGTGGCTGCAGCACTGAAAACGTGACACATGTACGGTGAATAAGTTTTGGGCAGAAACGATTCACAAAACGGACGCATTGACCACGACTCTTTAAGCCCCGCAATGGAGAAGAACTTGCAATGGTGGACCGAGGTTGCAGTTATCATAACAGTATTCATCATAGGGCTTGTAGGAAACATATTTGTTCTTATCATAGTTAACGAGAGAAACGCCAGGAAGACAATTCATGGAACATTTGTTACAAGTCTGGCTATTGCAGATTTGGTTTTGCTGTGTTCGGATTCGCCTGTTTCTATTTTACAACACTTCAGCCTTACGTCTGAAACATACAACTGCAGAGTACATCTGACTGTTGTTACAACCGGATACAATGCAGGACTTTTCACCATCACATCCATGGCGATCTATCGGTGCCATGTTGTAACAAATCCTTGGAGGCCAAAGCTAAAACGAAGAGGTGCAGTAATATGGGTGTCTTTCGTGTGGCTGGCAGCTTTTATTTTTGTTATTCCACTCATTGTTGTTGGTAAAATAACAAAAGATGGCAAATGTAAAGAAGATTGGCCTTCCCTTGCTCATCGCCAGGCATACACCGTCTCACTCCTCACAGCACAGTATATTTTACCGCTGCTGATTACGGCAATTTGCTACATACGAATATGGCTTTTTATGAGAAATCGACCGGTGTTTCCGAGAAACAGCAATTTATTCACTAACAGACGGATCCCAGGAGAAGAAAATACAAGAGAGAATGTGATAATACTGAAAACCGTAACAGTAATTGTGTTCTTGTTTTTGGTGTTGTTGTTGCCTAATCAAGTCGCGTGGATGCTGTTGGATTTCAGAAATGTTTCCTATGAAGAACTTTGGTTTGTTGCAGATATACTAACAAGACTCCATAGCTGTCTAAACCCAGTCGTCTATGGGGTGATGAAAAAACAGTACCGTCGTAGTTACGTCACGTTTTTAACACGCACCCTGTGCTACCGTCACGTGTCACGTGTCGCGCAGGCGCCAACATAGGATAAAAGATAAAGATGAAAGATACATAGTTTATTCACAATCGCTTTGCAACTAGAAATTGAATTACACGCTTATTACAAAATATGATATCAATAGTATCATTAACTAGAACTATCAGTGGTTTAAAGCAAGTTTTTACGAAAATTTGTTTTTACATCTGTTTTGGTTATAAATGAAATATGTAGATTAAATCTAAAATTCTATTAAAATAGGTTTAGGCTTTAAGGGCATTAAAAGTGATAAAACTGTTAAGAAATCTTTTTGTCGTGAACACGCGCTTACACTTCCGTTTATTTTTAAGGTTCAAATTACTTGTGTTACGAGCAGGAAGAAGGTCATGGAGCTTATTCTCTTCGCTCTGAATAATCTTATCGAGTAATTTGTCAAATAATTCCTGACGGCGATCTGAAGTTTATTTAGGCCTGATTCAGCCAATGTCTCATTGTATGAGCAAAAGGGAAAGATGATGCGCATTGCTCGCTTTTGTACTCCTTCAATCTCGTTGGGAAGGTACGTGGGGAGACCGTCATGGGAGACAGGACATGCATTCTCCGTGATCGAACTAATACAAGTGCTGAAAAGCTGCTCCAACTCACGGATACCAAGACCAGATCGTTTAAGTTATGTCACAATAATAATTTATGGCAATGGACAGTTATGTGTCTATTAAACTTATCTTAGGTCACTGACGTCACCAAAAAAATAAAAAGAAAAAACAAGAACCTAACAGCTGAGTGATCTCGTCATAGAGACAAATACTTATGCATTCACAGGGACTATAATTCAAGATGATAGAGGCCAGTTTGATGACTGAAACATCCATTAGCCTTTTAAAAGCCTGTAAAGAAAAGAACTGGCTATATTCAGGATTAATTTATATCGGAAACAATAGCAGAAGTAAAAAGACTTTTACATAAGAAGCGCAGTTATAAACTAGTAGACTTTAAGATTCACTTTGTAGACTACAAGCAGTCTGATCTTTTCGGCGAAGTTCGTCACGCGAGGAAAAAAAGAATCTGTGAAAAGAAAAATGATTTTAGTGCGCCACGGAACTCTAGAAGTGAGGTACGCAGAAATCAGTTTTTTCTACTGATTTTATTCCTTTACTTGCGCGATGGACTTCGGCGAAAAGGGGGGGACTGCTCGTTGTCTATTCCTCCTGAAACCTGATTGAAAACTGTGCGCGACTTGTGTAGTATTTGTAACGATCACTCGAAGTTCTTATCTTTGACATAATCTCCATCATGGTATTAACCTGTTCATAATCGGAAAGCAATGCAATTCCGTTCTCTAATGTATTTACTAATATGCGCTCGTCTGGCTTAGCAAATTAAGACAAGCGTATATATGAGAACTTAATTGTCAACCTTCTTGTCTTATATCTTAAATGTACATAACTTTTGTTGAGTTAAATTTGGTTTAAATATCAGTTATTTCTTTAACTTTCCAAATAAAATTAACTCATCGATTAGTATATTTCAGTTACATCTGTTGATAAGGGCTAAAGAAGATATTATTTTCAACCGAAGTGTTACCAAAAAACTGAATGAACGCAGATTGTAACTACATGACAGTCATTTTATATAAATATTCCTTAGAGTTCAATATTGAAGCTTTGATTTTCCTGTTTCATGATGAAATGGCACATCGGTGGAGGGGAGTGGCATTTATAATAAATTGCCTTAAGGCCCGGATGTGGATTGATTCTCTAAAATGGAAAAGCGGGGCTATACGACTCAATTAAATACAAAGGGATCATGAGTTCATAGCAAGGAGTTCCCTGTATAAACTGATGAATGATTCATTCATTTTTCTTTTCAATATCTTTTCATGAACTAATCTTACTTCGTTACAAAAGCTATCACCTTTCGCCTCAGTCTCCCTGCCGACGGCCACTTATTTTTGACATTTTTTTAAAACAATTGTGAAACAAGAGATTCAAGAATAACTTAAGAAAATCGTGTTTCCGACAGCCTGACCTTTAAACATTGTCCTTAGCCCGGTGAAACTCAAATTAGTCTCTCATATCTTAGTTTATTCTAATCATTTTCAGCCGACTCAGCGCTGTAAAGTCGAGTTCAATGCCTCTTGCGGCCTATAAAAACTGATTTTTGTAACATGATCATGTCTTTTCTGGAATTGCTTGGGTAAAAAATCAAAGCCTATTGTAACTTATTACATATGGTTAATGAGACACCGTTCTTAAAATAGCTGCGCAGTATAACTTCGAACTAAATTTAGACTCTGAAATATGTCACCGGGAGGATGCTTTCAGGTGAAAAAACCATCTTCGATTCTTCAGGAGCCTCACGGTTTCTTCCAGTGTATCCGAAATTCTAGGCGGGTCCTACAGTTGCAGTTCGCCGCATCGAACATGGAGAAAGCAATAGTACCTTGACACATCTCCTAAACTGTCTGCTCTGAAAACAGTAGACGATCGGATTAACAGCTGAGTTTAAAGTTACTAGGACAACGGTTGTCGTGTGAACTATGTCGCCTTGAGAGTTTAATCCATAGAAATCAAGAACATAGGCAATGAGATTGGGAAGCCAACATACTGCGCAAACAACTGTCACGGTCAAGACCATTTTCGTGACACGTTTGCGTGACTTGATGACGGCGCGCTGTGATTGCTCTACCGGTTGTGACTTTGTGATCCAGAGTTTAAAAACCACTCGGCTGTAAAGAAGGGTCATAACAGATAACGGTAAAATTCCGACTACAATGAGCCATCCAAGGCTATAAGCATTCAAATACCAACCAGAGGGCCAATCCTCGAGGCAAAAATCTAAATCCTCGTTGTATTTCACCAACACATATACTGGAATATTCCAGAAGATTGAAAACAGCCAACAAGCAGGTATGATGAATTTGAGTTTGGCCTTTGTGATGCGTTTTTTCTCGTCGTGTGGGTACAACACAGCAAAATATCTTTCAACTGCAACAGCAATCAGTGATACCACCGAGACCACGCCCCCGGTCCATACCAGATTCCCTCCGGTTAGGAACTTGCAGAGGTAGTCCCCGGTGTGCCCCATGGGGTGTTCGTACGTGTGAATTGGGATATATCGAGGGATCCCAAATATAGCTACCACCATATCGGCGCAGGCGAGATTCACCAACAAATAGTTCATGGCGCTTCTCATCAGCCGGTTTCTCAGGACAACAAGACAGACCAGAGAGTTACCGACGAGGGTGATTAGCACAAGAAACGAGAAGGCCACGCGAAGGCTGATTTCCGCCGCTTCTTTGTGAGTGAAAAGCGACATGGTGTTTTTGGAACCAATACTTTGCTGAAGATGAGCAAATCAGATCTGAAAATAACAAGGAAAGAAATTGTTAATAATGTTTTTGCCTTAGTGTACAGAATAAACATTCTACGCTAAGTAAATCATAGGTTCTATGAAGTTCTGTTTTATTTGGTCTGCCCAAGCTTGTCGATACTTGGAATAATTAACACCGAGAGAGGATAAGCCTCTCTTGTTAACAAACATTTTCCTGCTTTAACGTGTTTTCAAAGGCATCACATTGGGCCTGTTCGGGATGATCTCCTTAACAAAACCATGGAGATTAGCATGCGGAAAGTTACGTGTAAACTAAGGTTCTGCGCCATCCGCTTTCTGAGTTGACAAAAAAAAAATGTCAACACATAAGCCAGTTAAAACAATCGATGATCTTTTATTGTTTACACGAACCTTAGACCTCCTTTGCTCGAGAACAGGTTTTCACATGTATATTGATCTTGGAAATGAGAAGACGAGGGAAACTGGGATATAATTGAGTTGCACGACTATCTAATGAAGGCCTCGATGGTGTTAAAAGCTAGCCGTAGAACGGCCAAACAATTTAGCCGTTAGGCGTAAAAATTGATAAATTTTAACCGTTGATCGTAAAAAAAAGTTAACCGTAAAAATTTTTCATTTGATCAAAAGAGAAGGAAGTTCCGTTAGCCGTATAATGGCAAAAATTTTAACTATTAGCCTTAAAGGCCATTACGCCATTGAGAGCCCCCATATTGCGTTTCCTATTTTGCCAAGTGTTTCCTCAATTATCAAAGAATTTCTACGTAAACATTGGCCGTAGACTCTATCTTTTCTTCATAGCTACGAATTTCTTTCACGAGAGGCGTCGGATATTGCAACTAAACTTGGTGTTACGTTTGGTAATGATTTTCCAGGTGATGCTAGAGATAAAATTACGTAGAGAAGCTTAACGAGTCTAATTGGATTTGGCCACTGAACAATTATACTCTGCCCAAGTGTTTCGAAGTAAAGATCCCACGAACTGAGTTTTGAATAAGAAAGTCAATTTGATAAAAAAAACAAACAAAAAAACAAACAAAAAAAACGACAAAATGAACAAAGCAAAACAAGAAACAAATAAACCAAGAAAACCTAAGAGCAGAAAATGAAAAAAAAAAAGACGAAGAAGATTTTTCTATTTTGTTCGATGTTTTCCATTTGAAGTTGCCATTAAACTCCTGTAAAGCGAAAGGATTGTAAATGAAAAGGAAGTAACTTCTCTCCATTTTAAAAGGCTCATTTAGAACTCACTGTTCCCGCGGCACTGAAAAGTAGGTTCACACATTCGGTTTAAAAAAGCAAGGGGCTGCGGTACTTTCTCGTTTCTCATTAAAAAGACATTTTGAGAAGTGATACAATAATCAACGATTTTTAACTCACCAATGTTTTATAGTTAGTCAACTTGTCCCCAGACAGTCGCAGCTTTCCTCGAACCTTGGTGCAAACAATTCTTACAACTGCTCTTCAATAAAGGCACGATCTGGGGTAAATTTACTTCTTCCCATGTCAGTCTTTCAGCTTAAAAATAATGACTGAGCTCGAAGCTCAATGTCGCCGAGTTACGGTAACCGCCGATCGGCGAGATGTCACGGTATTGATATTGGCTTACGACTGAACAGAAAGATACTGAACTATTGACGTCACTAAAAAAGTGATCTAGATGTTTATTCGTCCTTTAGCCTTCTAAAATTAGATCTGCATGTCAATCTGATTATTGTTTCTCTCTGTATCTGTCTTAAAAATGATTCATTGAAGGTTTTATGGCTTTTGTGGGCGGCACTGCCGGTCGGCGGTTCTGTCTGACCAAGTAATTGGAAGTGATTAGCGAGTCGTTCAGTGTCTCTTGTATAGAAAAGAACATTCTAATTATGGATTCCATAACATTAGATTGCAAAATGGATTTCATCTTTTTAGTTTTTGATTTTCCCAAGTTTAAATTCATGGTCCTCATAAGAGTTAACTGACTGTATATTTGCTAGAAAAATTTAGCGCACATTTCTCAAGATTATATTTTTTATGTGGTTTCGTGATGACATTTGAATGGAAGGGAATAAAAATCATCACTACATACTACCAGTAGTTGTGGTCTAATTAATTACACGTCGTCGATATTGAACCAAAACACAAATATCGTTGTGGTTTCGAATCGACATGAAAAGCAAATATTTGCTCCACGTAACGTGCTGTGTCCATCTTCTTGAATTTGAGAACTACATTGCATTTCGTGGAACATTCTTTCATTTTTTCTGCTCTAACGTGTTCTCAAAGGCATCACATTGGGCCTATTTGAGATGATCTCCTTAACAAAACCATGAAGATTAGCATGTGGAAAGTTACGTGTAAACTAAGGTTCTGCGCCATCCGCTGTCTGAGTTGACAAAAAAAATGTCAACACATAACCCAGTTAAAACAATTGATGATCTATTATTGTTTACACGAACCTTAGACCTCCTTTGCTCGAGAACAGGTTTTCACATGTTCAGTGAAGTAATCACTGTGCCGCTTTTATACTTTAGCAAACGAGCATTAAGTATTTTTTTAAACAATACTCTTTTGTGTAGTTTATATTCGAGTTAGAAATGCTCTTCACATCGTCAAACAGTCCTAAAACACGAAATGTTAAGTTGAGTCCGACCGGTTCCCGCAGAGAAGAAAGCGTTGGGATCAGACTGCAGTAACATGTCTCTTAGCTCTGACGAACGACTAACGTTAGAAAAGTCACCTTTAGAAACATCCGGATTTCCCGCGACCACCACCGTGACTGATCGTTTTTCTGTAGAAAATGAACAGATGACCAAAAACACTGATGACCAATCATATTGTCATGCTATATATATTGATTAGTCGCATGATCCATCTTTCCAACCATCAAGCCATCGCTCATCAACCTTTGAACAATCAAATTCTTTTTTTCCAAGCCTCTTGTTCACTTCATTAAGCACATGGCACATCCACTGACAAAAACTGTATCTGTTGCTTATGTCATGGGGGTGAGTTTGTAACCTGAATGAAAAAAAAATCACGATAAACAGTACACAATTTTCAGTCAAAGGAAAAATCTAATGCCTGTATTGCTGCGCTAAAACTTACCTTTCTCTAAGATGTGAAGCACAGTCTTCAAAGGGATAAAATTTGGAAAATATTTTTACAAAACCAGCCATGTCATTTTGTTGTTGTTGGGAAAGATTGTCTGGATAATAAGCAGCCATTGTGTGAAGAAAGTTCCATGTTGATCGGCCTATCAAGGGGACACTCTATACTGGATTCATCCTGAGATGCTGAGTCATGGCTTTTAGATGAGTTCTTGCTATAACTCTGTTAAAAAAAAATGAATAAAAACATGCAACTAGTGAAAGGAGATAATTTCATAATACTAGAAAGTGAAAAACAGTAGAAAAGGAAAGATGAAAAAGGAAATCTGTAAGGAGAGAAGTTTAAAGGAAGGGATGACCGGGAGGAGTGACAGGAAAGACGACGGGGGGAGTGGGGAGATGAAGGGAGAGGAGTGTGTGGGGAAGAAGGAAACCAGAAAGTATGTCAGGAGGAAGGGGAGGGAGGGGGGAAACAAGAGGTTGTCATTGAACTCTACACTCTGACCACAAAGACCATGAGACGCCCTAAAATAACAAGTTGGAGGTGTTATGCTACTGTATCTAGCTCGAGTAGCACGGAAAGGGAAAAATACTGATCAATGTAGTTAGGCATCTGTTTAACAGGTCTTAACAGCGTCTTATTAATAGTTACGATTATGCTTGACTGAATATTAACTGTTCACTATCCTTGGAGAGGTTAATGAGCAACCGAAGGCTATTTGAGTGGAGCCGTAATTTCCTAACAAAATCGACAGTCACCCACTCCGGTAGTTATGCATGCGCTCGCATAATACTATGGAAACGCTTTCAGTGATTTGAAATAGCTTCTGATGAGAATTGGGTTAAAAATTAAAATTAAAGGATTATTCAAGATTTCTGAGAGGAGCTTATCATTGCCACCTAAAATTTGGGGCAATCGAATAACACATGATGTAACCCAGGTGATGTAACATAATTTCTCCTTCACGTCGTAATGATGTTCTTCTTTCAAATATGTTGTAGTTCGGATTCTATTGATTTTGTGATGATCTAAAGACCTTACCGTTGTACATTTGTTCGATTCCCTTGATTCATCCATGACTTGAAATCTCTACATGCACGACAGGGCTTTTAACGATGCAGAGGAGACATGTCTTGGTCCGACATCTTTACAGAAATTAGTCAATACGTTACGTAAGAGCACATGACTAGCACTAACAAACAATTTGTGCGCCCGCGTTCCTTAGTACTGGGTAAACGGTAACAAAGGGCGGTAGGTTGTCGGCTCCGATAGATCTTTGAGGTAGCTCTTTGGCCTCCTGTAATCACTATCCCTATGTTCCTCTTGGGGTTTACCCAACGCTATTAAAACCCACAAAATGTTAGACTTTCAGTCATATCACCGCGGTCTTTTGGTATCTCTTTGCTCCACGACCTAGATTCAGGCTGTTACGTGAAGCTAGCGAAGCAAGTAACCAACATGTCACAGCCTTTATCCACAAATATCCTTTTATCCTTCTTTTTTCGAGGGTTAAGCCAGTAAAAATTGACCGCACTTTTGCACGCATGCCATTGTGAACGTTAGCCAACGTCAATTTTGTCACATTTGCATGACGACGTTATTTACGGACAACGCGGTATTTGCGCAGTTTCACTTTCTAAGGCTAAATTATACACTATGCATGTTACATTATGCATCGATAGCAAAAGTGGAGCCAAGATATATGTAAGTTATCTTTACACTCCCAAATTATATTTTAACTCTAACCCAGTCGGATCTTCATTGTTGCGTAATTCCATCTACATGCGTCAGCGGCCATTTGTTTTTGACCTTCCTCACCTGAACAGAGGAGAGAGTACCCACATTAAAGATTTATTCCCGTAATTGATCTCTGCATAGTTCATCTTATCAAATTTCGTTAAATGAACTAAATATGTAGAGTGTGTTTTTATGTAATGTAGATACGTGAGACGCATTTGTGGAAAGCGCGGGAGTAATTTTTGTGCAGAAACAATTCAAGGCATTCTATTTTTCGCGCTTTAAACACTGCCGCACGATGATGTTTACGGTAATGAAGCTCAGTCTTAAGTGTGTCTAAAAATTCTAAGAAATTTGATATATGATATATGGCAGCATTTTCTCCTCAGTAAAATATTAGTCAGTAATACACCTTCTCATGTCAAATCTTCATATGTACCATGAAACTTCCCGTCGTTTCTGCAATAACTTTCATAGTGAACTTAAAACTTTTGACATGGTAAATAATTCAATTGTTTCCCAATACTTAAACGTAGGATCAACTCGCCAATTTTTTCTAGAATGAAATTGATACTCGGTAAGCATCATTTATTACCAATGCCTAAATAGAGCGGGCAGAAGTCACTTATTTATATAACAAATCTAATGATTAAAACATTAAAAAAGGATTTGACGCAAACATTTGAATAATAACCAAGATGAACACTTTCCATATTACAAATTTAATGGACTTTCAATTGTCTGTACATCAGCAGCTGCTGCGACAGGCAGACGCAACAACCATTTAAGTTCGAAACTGATATGCATCGGCAACCTAATTAAAGGGATGTTTTATAAATGGGCAGTCTGTGTACGTATTTATAACAACAATCTTCTTCTCGCTGGAGGATACCTAGTAAAACGACAGCTTTTGTAAGTGAAAAAAGCAATACATGTTTTTTTTTTCGCGCAAGCCGGTTTCACCAAATTAATTTACCCAAGATAAAGAGACTATTAATTAATTTGAAGTTTTTTCGCAAATATTCGTTTTATGTGAATATGATTGACGTGCGACATTTTTGGCCGACTACCCTGCGGAAAACATTGTGAAGATTTTTACCCAGACTAGCTACGAACTGAAAAGGTGAAAAAAAACTTTGGACTCACCATGTGTGAAAAGCCTGTATAACACTGTTCAAACATTGAAGATGCAAGGTCAGCTGTTGACGAGTTTGTGGGTCTGGTTAATAGCTGAGATAACAGAAATATCCTTGCGTTCTGTAATCTACATCTACTAGTTATCATATCTACGCTTCCTTATTCACAGATAGTATCATTACCTGACTTGTTTTGCAACTTATTTTGTGGGCGTAGAACACATTGTAGTAATGGTATACTCGTAGGTTTGTGAGCGTGGCTGCAGCACTGAAAACGTGACACATGTACTGTGAATAAGTTTTGGGCAGAAACGATTCACAAAACGGATGCATTGACCACGACTCTTTAAGCCCCGCAATGGAGAAGAACTTGCAATGGTGGACCGAGGTTGCAGTTATCATAACAGTATTCATCATAGGGCTTGTAGGAAACATACTTGTTCTTATCACAGTTCATCAGAGAAACGCTAGGAAGACAATTCATGGAACATTTGTTATAAGTCTGGCTATTGCAGATTTGGTTTTGCTGTGTTCAGACTCGCCTGTTTCTATTTTACAACACTTCAGCCTTACGTCTGAAACATACAACTGCAGAGTACATCTGACTGTTGTTACAACCGGATACAATGCAGGACTTTTCACCATCACATCCATGGCGATCTATCGGTGCCATGTTGTAACAAATCCTTGGAGGCCAAAGCTAAAACGAAGAGGTGCAGTAATATGGGTGTCTTTCGTGTGGCTGGCAGCTTTTATTTTTGTTATTCCACTCATTGTTGTTGGTAAAATAACAAAAGATGGCAAATGTAAAGAAGATTGGCCTTCCCTTGCTCATCGCCAGGCATACACCGTCTCACTCCTCACAGCACAGTATATTTTACCGCTGCTGATTACGGCAATTTGCTACATACGAATATGGCTTTTTATGAGAAATCGACCGGTGTTTCCGAGAAACAGCAATTTATTCACTAACAGACGGATCCCAGGAGAAGAAAATACAAGAGAGAGTGTGATAATACTGAAAACCGTGGCAGTAATTGTGTTCTTGTTTTTGGTGTTGTTGTTGCCTAATCAAGTCGCGTGGATGCTGTTGGATTTCAGAAATGTTTCCTATGAAGAACTTTGGTTTGTTGCAGATATACTAACAAGACTCCATAGCTGTCTAAACCCAGTCGTCTATGGGGTGATGAATAAACAGTACCGCCGTAGTTACGTCACGTTTTTAACACGCACCCTGTGCTACCGTCACGTGTCACGTGTCGCGCAGGCGCCAACATAGGATAAAAGATAAAGATGAAAGATACATAGTTTATTCACAATCGCTTTGCAACTAGAAATTAAATTACACGCTTATTACAAAATATGATATCAATAGTAGCATTAAATAGAACTATCAGTGGTTTAAAGCAAGTTTTTACGAAAATTTGTTTTTACATCTGTTTTGGTTATAAATGAAATATGTAGATTAAATCTAAAATTCTATCAAAATAGGTTTAGGCTTTAAGGGCATTAAAAGTGATAAAACTGTTAAGAAATCTTTTTGTCTTGAACACGCGCTTAAACTTCCGTTTATTTTTAAGGTTCAAAGTACTTGTGTTACGAGCAGGAAGAAGGTCATGGAGCTTATTCTCTTCGCTCTGAATAATCTTATCGAGTAATTTGTCAAATAATTCCTGACGGCGATCTGAAGTTTATTTAGGCCTGATTCAGCCAATGTCTCATTGTATGAGCAAAAGGGAAAGATGATGCGCATTGCTCACTTTTGTACTCCTTCAATCTCGTTGGGAAGGTACGTGGGGAGACCGTCATGGGAGACAGGACATGCATTCTCCGTGATCGAACTAATACAAGTGCTGAAAAACTACTCCAACTCGCGGATATCAAGACCAGATCGTTTAAGTTATGTCACAGTAATAATTTATGGAAATGGACAGTTATGTGTCTATTAAACTTATCTTACGTCACTGACGTCACCAAAAATAGAAAAAGAAAAACCAAGAACCTAACAGCTGAGTGATCTCGTCATAGAGACAAATACTTATGCATTCACAGGGACTATAATTCAAGATGATAGAGGCCAGTTTGATGACTGAAACATCCACTAGCCTTTTAAAAGCCTGTAAAGAAAATAACTGGCTATATTCAGGATTAATTTATATCGGAAACAATAGCAGAAGTAAAAAGACTTTTACATAAGAAGCGCAGTTATAAACTAGTAGACTTTAAGATTCACTTTGTAGACTACAAGCAGTCTGATCTTTTCGGCGAAGTTCGTCACGCGAGGAAAAAAAGAATCTGTGAAAAGAAAAATGATTTTAGTGCGCCACGGAACTCTAGAAGTGAGGTGCGCAGACATCAGTTTTTTTTACTGATTTTATTCCTTTACTTGCGCGATGGACTTCGGCGAAAAGGGGGGGACTGCTCGTTGTCTATTCCTCCTGAAACCTGATTGAAAACTGTGCGCGACTTGTGTAGTATTTGTAACGATCACTCGAAGTTCTTATCTTTGACATAATCTCCATCATGGTATTAACCTGTTCATAATCGGAAAGCAATGCAATTCCGTTCTCTAATGTATTTACTAATATGCGCTCGTCTGGCTTAGCAAATTTAGACAAGCGTATATATGAGAACTTAATTGTCAACCTTCTTGTCTTATATCTTAAATGTTCATAATTTTTGTTGAGTTAAATTTGGTTTGAATATCAGTTATTTTTTTATCTTTCCAAATAAAATTAACTCATCGATTAGTATATTTCAGTTACAACTGTTGATAAGGGCTAAATAAGATATTATTTTCAACCGAAGTGTTACCAAAAAACTGAATGAACGCAAATTATAACTACATTACAATCACTTTATATAAATATTCCTTAGAGTTCAATATTGAAGCTTTGATTTTCCTGTTTCATGATGAAATGGCGCCTTAATGTCTTAAGGCCCGGATATGGATTGATTCTCTAAAATGGAAAAGCGGGGCCTTACGACTCAATTAAATACAAAGGGCTCATGAGTTCATAGCAAGGAGTTCTCTGTATAAACTGATGAATGAGTCATTCATTTTTCAATATCTTTTCATGAACTAATCTTACTTCGTTACAAAAGCTATTACCTTTCGCCTCAGTCTCCCTACCGACAGGCATCTAATTTTTTCTTGGTTGACATTTTTTTAAAACAAGTGTGGAACAAGAGATTAAGGAATAACTTAAGAAAATCGTGTTTCCGACTGCCTGGCCTTTAAACATTGTCCTTAGCCCGGTGAAACTCAAATTAGTCTCTTATATCTTAGTTTATTCCAATCATTTTATCCGACTCAGCGCTGTAAAGTCGAGTTCAAGTCCTCTTGAGGCCTATAAAAACTGTTTTTCGTAACATGATCAGTCTTTTCTATAATTTTTTTGGTAAAAAATCAAAGCCTATTGTAACTTATTACGTATGGTTAATGAGACACCGTTCTTAAAATAGCTGCGCAGTATAACTTCGAACTAAATTTAGACTGTGAAATATGTCACTGGGAGGATGCTTGTTTCAGGACGACTTCTCTTAGTTCATGAGCTAAGTTTTACTCTTTCCCTTTAGATTTTTCAGGTGAAAAAACCATCTTCAATTCTTCAGGAGCCTCATGGTTTCTTCCAGTGTATCCGAAATTCTAGGCGGGTCCTACAGTTGCAGTTCGCCGCATCGAACATGGAGAAAGCAAAAGTACCTTGACACATCTCCTAAACTGTCTGCTCTGAAAACAGTAGATGATCGGATTAACAGCTGAGTTTAAAGTTACTAGGACAACGGTTGTCGTGCTAACTATGTCGCCTTGAGAGTTTAACCCATAGAAATCAAGAACATAGGCAATGAGACAGGGAAGCCAACATACTGCGCAAACAACTGTCACGGTCAAGACCATTTTCGTGACACGTTTGCGTGACTTGATGACAGCGCGCTGTGATTGTTCTACCGGTTGCGAACTTGTGACCCAGAGTTTAAAAACCACTCGGCTGTAAAGAAGCGTCATAACAGACAACGGTAAAATTCCGACTACAATGAGCCATCCAAGGCTATAAGCATTCAAATACCAACCAGAGGGCCAATCCTCGAGGCAAAAATCTAAATCCTCGTTGTATTTCACCAACACATATAGTGGAAGATTCCAGAGGATTGAAAACAGCCAACAGGCAGGTATGATGAATTTGAGTTTGGCCTTTGTGATGCGTTTTTTCTCGTCGTGTGGGTACAACACCGCAAAATATCTTTCAACTGCAACAGCAATCAGTGATACCACCGAGACCACGGCCCCGGTCCATAACAGGCTCCCTCCGGTTAGGAACTTGCAGAGGTAGTCCCCGGTGTGCCCCGTCGGGTGTTGGTACGTGTGAATTAGGATATACCGAGGGATCAAAAATATAGCTACCACCATATCCGCGCAGGCGAGATTCACCAACAAATAATTCATGGCGCTTCTCATTAGCCGGTTTCTCAGGACAACAAGACAGACCAGAGAGTTACTGACGAGGCTGATTAGCACAAGAAACGAGAAAGCCACACGAAGGCTGATTTCCGCCGCTTCTGTGTCAGTGAAAAGCGACATGGTGTTTTTGAAACCAATACTTTGCTAAGCAAATCAGATCTAAAAATAACAAGGAAACGAATGGTTAATAATGTTTTTGCCTTAGTGTTCAGAATAAACATTCTACGCTAAGTAAATCATGGGTTCTATGAAGTTCTGTTTTATTTGGTCGATTCATGGGATAATTAACATCAAGAGAGGATAAGGCTCTCTTGTTAACAAACATTTTTCTGCTCTAACGTGTTTCCAAAGGCATCACCTTAACAAAACCAAGAAGATTAGCATGTGGAAAGTTACGTGTAAACTAAGGTTCTGCACCATCCGCTGTCTGAGTTGACAAAAAAAATTTCAACACATAAACCAGTTAAAAAAATTGATGATTTATTACTGTTTACACGAACCTTAGAGCTCCTTTGCTCGAGAATAGGTTTTCTCATGTTCAGTGAAGTAATCACTGTGCCGCTTTTTTACTTCAGCATTTAGTATTTTTTAAACAATACTCTTTTGTGTAATTTATATTCGAGTTAGAGATGCTCTCCACATCGTCAAACAGTCCTGAAACACGAAATGTTAAGTTGAGTCCGACCAGTTCCCGCAAAGAAGAGAAGCGTTTGAATCAGACTGCTGTAACATGTGTCTTAGCTCTGACGAAAAAGAAAAGCCACCTTTAGAAAATTTTCACGGTGGTCAATTTACATTGAGCTTTTTCTCCGGAAAGTAAAGCGCGGCTGGCGCCAAAAATTGACCTCATTTGCACATGCCTTAGTTTTGGCCGCTGTGTTGTTTTAGACACCAATAGATATTTTTACATTTTTGAAAAGTAGTATGCTGAAGCTGTTAACTACAAGGCTTCTCTGAATGTGGATCTTATTAACGTCAAGCTCCTTTAAGCATCACGCAAGTTTTATTATACAAATACACCAGCTTGCTTTTCTAGTACAAATTTTCTAGTACAAATTCTGTAGCAAGAAAATACTTTAAATTTTGATCACTCATTCTTGATCTGCTTACCTTTTGTAGAATGTGTAAAATATAAAATGTTCTGGTGTAACAGGGAACTGTTCAACAGAGCTGATTGCAAAGCGAAACTTAGAAACGCAAATGGTGAAGATAATGTTCGCTTGAGAAAATTAAAGGGGGCGTCAATACAATTGATTACTATGCTTACAGATGTGAACAAGCTGTCACTTCTTCACAATAGCGTGCTCAAATATTGATTAAATGCAGTGGCTATTAGAACGTCATGTTAAATACAGGCTCTTTTAATTGGTCCAGCAATGGACTAAAGCTGGGTGTAGCTGCTTTTTTCCAGCTTCTATAGTTTTTAAGGGGTAGAAAAAATTAAAAAAAAAAGCTTTCGGTAGTTAACAATAGAAGAAAATGAAGCTCAGTCTTAAGTGTGTCTGAAAATTCTAAGAAATTTGATATATCACGGGCGACTCAATATGGCAGCATTTTCACCTCAGTATTTAAAATCTTCATATGCACCATGAAACTTCCCGTCGTTTCTGCAGTAACTTTTATCGTGAACCTAAAACTTTTCACATGGTAAATAATTCAATTGTGTGCCAACACTTAGACACCGTCATTTTCTTGAATGAAATTAATACTCGGCAAGCATCATCTATTACCACCGGCTAAATAGAGCAGGCAAAAGTCACTTATTTGTATAACAAATCTAATGGTTAAAACACTAAAAAGGGATTTGACGCAAACTTTTGACTAGTAACCAAGATGAACACTTTCCATATTACAAATTAATAGGACTTTCAATTGTCTGTACATCAGCAGCTGCTGCGACAGGCAGACGCAACAACCATTTAAGTTCGAAACTGATATGCATCGGCAACCTAATTAAGGGATGTTTTATAAATGGGCAGTCTGTGTACGTATTTATAATAACAATCTTCTTCTCGCTGGAGGATACGTAGTAAAACGACAGCTTTTGTAAGTGGGAAAAGCAATACATGTATTTTTTCGCGTAAGCCGGTTTAACCAAATTAATTTACCCAAGATAAAGAGACTAGTAATTAATTTGAAGTTTTTTCGCAAATATTCGTTTTATGTGAATATGATTCACGCGCAACATTTTTGGCCGACTTCCCTGCGGCAACCATTGTGAAGATTTTACCCAAACTAGCAACGAACTGAAAAGGCGGAAAAAAACTTTGGACTCACCATGTGTTAAAAGCCTGTATAACGCTGTTCAAACATTGTGGGTCTGGTTAATAGCTGAGATAATAGAAATATCCTTGCGTTCTGTAATCTACATCTACCAGTTATCATATCTACACTTCCTTATTCACAGATAGTATCATTAACTGACTTGTTTTGCAACTTATTTTGTGGGCGTAGAACACATTGTAGTAATGGTATACTCGTAGGTTTGGCTATTGCAGATTTGGTTTTGCTGTGTTCGGACTCGCCTGTTTCTATTTTACAACACTTCAGCCTTACGTCTGAAACATACAGCTGCAGAGTACATCTGACTGTTGTTACAACCGGATACAATGCAGGACTTTTCACCATCACAGTCATGGCGATCTATCGGTGCCATGTTGTAACAAATCCTTGGAGGCCAAAGCTAAAACGAAGAGGTGCAGTAATATGGGTGTCCTTCGTGTGGCTGGCAGCTTTTATTTTTGTTATTCCACTCATTGTTGTTGGTAAAATAACAAAAGATGGCAAATGTAAAGAAGATTGGCCTTCCCTTGCTCATCGCCAGGCATACACCGTCTCACTCCTCACAGCACAGTATATTTTACCGCTGCTGATAATAGCAATTTGCTACATACGAATATGGCTTTTTATGAGAAATCGACCGATGTTTCCGAGAAACAGCAATTTATTCACTAACAGACGGATCCCGGGAGTAAAAAATACAAGAGAGAGTATGGTAATACTGAAAACCGTAGCAGTAATTGTTTTCTTGTTCTCGGTATTGTTGCTGCCAAATCAAGTCGCGTGGATGCTGTTGGATTTCAGAAATGTTTCCTATGAAGAGCTCTGGTTTGTTGCAGATATATTTTCAAGGCTCCATAGCTGTCTAAACCCAGTCGTTTATGGAGTGATGAATAAACAGTACCGTCGTAATTACGTCACGTTTTTAACACGCGCCCTGTATTACGGTCACGTGTCACGTGTCGCGCAGGCGCCAACATAGGATGAAAGATACATAGTTTATTCACTATCGCTCAGAAACTAAAAAGTTGAATTTCACGCTTATTAAAAAAGACGATATCAATAGTAGCATTAAAAAGAAGTATCAGTGGTATAAAGCAAGTTTTTATGGAAATATGTTTGTACATCTGTTACGGTTATAAATAAAATATTTCGATTAAATATAAAATTCTGACAAAATAATTTAGGCTTTAAGGGCATTAAAAGTGATAAAACTGTTAAGAAAGATTTCTGTCTTGAACACGGGCTTAAACTTCTGTTTGTTTCTAAAGTTCAAAGTACTTGTGCTACGAACAGGAAGGTCATGGAGCTCACACTGAAGAAGTTATTGAATAATTTATAAAATAGTTCCTGACGGCGATCTGAAATTTATTTAGGCCTGATTCAGACAATGCCTCATTCTATGAGCAAAAGGGAAAGATGATGCGTATTGCTCGCTTTTGTTCTCCTTCATTCTCGTTGGAAAGGTACGTAGGGAGACAAGACATTCATACTCTGTGATCGGTCAAATACAAGTGCAGAAAAACTGCTCTAACTCACGGGTACCCAGACCAGATCGTTTAAGTTATGTCACATTAATGATTTATGCCACTGGGGAGTCACGTGTCTCTTACACTCGTCTCACGTCACTGATGTCACCAAAAAGAGAAAAAGAAGAAACAAGAATCTAACAGCTGAGTGATCTCGTCATAGAGAAAAATATGCATTCACAGGGGCTATAATTCAAGGTGACAGAAACACACAAGCCTTTTTAAAATCCTGGAAAGAAAATAGCTGGCTATTTGCAGGATCAATTTATATCGGAAACAATAGCAGAAGTAAAAAGACTTTTTACAGAAGAAGTGCAGTTCTAAAGAAGTAGACGTTAAGATTCATTTTGTAGACTACAAGCAGTCCGATCTTTTTGGCGAAGTCCGTCGCGCGAGGAAAAAAATCTGTGAAAAGAAAATGATTTTAGTGCGCCACGGAACTCTAGAAGTGAGGTACGCAGACATCAATTATTTTTTCCACTGATCATTTCCCTTTACTTGCGCGTTGGACTTCGGGAAAAGGAGAGACTGCTCGTTGTCTATTCCTGCTCAAACCTGATTGAAAACTGTGCACGACTTGTATATTATTTGTAACGATCACTCGAAGCTCTAATCTTTGACATAAGCACCATCATGGTATTAACTTGTTCATAATCGGAAAGCAATGCAATACCGTTCTCTAATCTATTTATTAATGTGCGCTCATCTGCCTCAGCAAATTTAGACAAGCATATATATGAGAACTTAATTGTCAACCTTCTTGTCTTATATCTTAAATGTACATAATGTTTGTTGAGTTAAATCTGGTTTAAATATCAGTTATTTCTTTAACTTTCCAAATAAAATTAACTCATTGATTCGTATATTTCAGTTACATCTGTTGATAAGGGCTAAATTTTGAAGATATTATTTTCAACCGAAGTATTAACAAAAATCTAAATGAACGCAAATTGTAACTACATTACAATCACTTTATATAAATATTCCTTAGAGTTCAATATTGAAGCCTTGATTTTCCTGTTTCATAATGAAATGGCGCATCGGTGAAGGGGAGTGGGATTTATAAGAAATTGTCTTAAGGCCCGGATGTGGATTGATTCTCTAAAATGGAAAAGCGGGGCTATACGACTTTAAATACAAAGGGCTCATGAGTTCATAGGAAGGAGTTCTCTGTATAAACCGGTGAATGAGTCATTCATTTTTCAATATCTTTTCATGAACTAATCTTACTTCGTTACAAAAGCTATTACTTTTCGCCTCAGTCTCCCTGCCGACAGGCATCTAATTTTTTCTTGGTTGACTTTTTTTAAAACAATTGTGGAACAAGAGATTAAGGAATAACTTAAGAAAATCGTGTTTCCGACTGTCTGGCCTTTAAACATTGTCCTTAGCCCGTTGAAACTCAAATTAGTCTCTTATATCTTAGTTTATTCCAATCATTTTACCCGACTCAGCGCTGTAAAGTCGAGTTCAAGTCCTCTCGCGGCCTATAAAAACTGTTTTTCGTAACATGATCGTGTCTTTTCTATAATTTTTTTGGTAAAAAATCAAAGCCTATTGTAACTTATTACGTATGGTGAATGAGACACCGTTCTTAAAATAGCTGCGCAGTATTACTTCGAATTAAATTTAATCTGTGAAATATGTCACTGGGAGGATGCTTGTTTCAGGACGACTTCTCTTAGTTCATGAACTAAGTTTTACTCTTTCCCTTTAGATTTTTCAGGTGAAAAAACCATCTTCGATTCTTCAGGAGCCTCACGGTTTCTTCCAGTGTATCCGAAATTCTAGGCGGGTCCTACAGTTGCAGTTCGCCGCATCAAACAGGGAGAAAGCAAAAGTACCTTGATACATCTCCTAAATTGTCTGCTCTGAAAACAGTAGATGATCGGATTAACAGCTGAGTTTAAAGTTACTAGGAGAACGGTTGTCGTGTGAACTATGTCGCCTGCAGAGTTTAACCCATAGAAATCAAGAACATAGGCAATGAGACAGGGAAGCCAACATACTGCGCAAACAACTGTCACGGTCAAGACCATTTTCGTGACACGTTTGCGTGACTTGATGACGGCGCGCTGTGATTGTTCTACCGGTTGCGAACTTGTGACCCAGAGTTTAAAAACCACTCGGCTGTAAAGAAGCGTCATAACAGACAACGGTAAAATTCCGACTACAATGAGCCATCCAAGGCTATAAGCATTCAAATACCAACCAGAGGGCCAATCCTCGAGGCAAAAATCTAAATCCTCGTTGTATTTTTTTATCACATATACTGGAAGATTCCAGAGGATTGAAAACAGCCAACAGGTAGGTATGATGAATTTGAGTTTGGCCTTTGTGATACGTTTTTTCTCGTCGTGTGGGTACAACACCGCAAAATATCTTTCAACTGCAACAGCAATCAGTGATACCACCGAGACCACGGCCCCGGTCCATAACAGGTTCCCTCCGGTTAGGAACTTGCAGAGGTAGTCCCCGGTGTGCCCCGTCGGGTGTTGGTACGTTTGAATTAGGATATACCGAGGGATCAAAAATATAGCTACCACCATATCCGCGCAGGCGAGATTCACCAACAAATAATTCATGGCGCTTCTCATTAGCCGGTTTCTCAGGACAACAAGACAGACCAGAGAGTTACTGACGAGGCTGATTAGCACAAGAAACGAGAAAGCCACACGAAGGCTGATTTCCGCCGCTTCTGTGTCAGTGAAAAGCGACATGGCGTTTTTGAAACCAATACTTTGCTAAGCAAATCAGATCTGAAAATAACAAGGAAACGAATGGTTAATAATGTTTTTACCTTAGTGTTCAGAATAAACATTCTACGCTAAGTAAATCATGGGTTCTATGAAGTTCTGTTTTATTTGGTCGATTCATGGGATAACTAACATCAAGAGAGGATAAGGCTCTCTTGTTAATAAACATTTTTCTGCTCTAACGTGTTTCCAAAGGCATCACCTTAACAAAACCAAGAAGATTAGCATGCGGAAAGTTACGCGTAAACTAAAGTTCTGCACCATCCGCTGTCTGAGTTGACAAAAAAAATTTCAACACATAAACCAGTTAAAAAAATTGATGATTTATTATTGTTTACACGAACCTTAGAGCTCCTTTACTCGAGAATAGGTTTTCTCATGTTCAGTGAAGTAATCACTGTGCCGCTTTTTTACTTCAGCATTTAGTATTTTTTAAACAATACTCTTTTGTGTAATTTATATTCGAGTTAGAGATGCTCTCCACATCGTCAAACAGTCCTGAAACACGAAATGTTAAGTTGAGTCCGACCAGTTCCCGCAAAGAAGAGAAGCGTTTGAATCAGACTGCTGTAACATGTGTCTTAGCTCTGACGAAAAAGAAAAGCCACCTTTAGAAAATTTTCACGGTGGTCAATTTACATAGGGCTTTTTCTCCGGAAAGTAAAGCGCGGCTGGCGCCAAAAATTGACCTCATTTGCACATGCCTTAGTTTTGGCCACTGTGTTGTTTTAGACACCAATAGATATTTTTACATTTTTGAAAAGTAGTATGCTGAAGCTGTTAACTACAAGGCTTCTCTCAAAGTGGATCTCATTAACGTCAAGCTCCTTTAAGCATCACGCAAGTTTTATTATACAAATAGACCAGCTTGCTTTTCTAGAACAAACAAATTCTGTAGCAAGAAAATACTTTAAATTTTGATCACTCATTCTTGATTTGCTTACCTTTTGTAGAATGTGTAAAATATAAAATGTTCTGGTGTAACAGGGAACTGTTCAACAGAGCTGATTGCAAAGCGAAACTGAGAAAAGCAAATGGTGAAGATAATGTTCGCTTGAGAAAATTAAAGGGGGCGTCAATACAATTGATTACTATGCTTACAGATGTGAACAAGCTGTCACTTCTTCACAATAGCGTGCTCAAATATTGATTAAATGCGGTGGCTATTAAAACGTCATGTTAAATACAGGCTCTTTTAATTGGTCCAGCAATGGACTAAAGCTGGGTGTAGCTGCTTTTTTCCAGCTTCTATAATTTTTAAGGGGTAGAAAAAATTAATAAAAAAAGCTTTCGGTAGTTAACAATAGAAGAAAATGAAGCTCAGTCTTAAGTGTGTCTGAAAATTCTAAGAAATTTGATATATCACGGGCGACTCAATATGGCAGCATTTTCACCTCAGTATTTAAAATCTTCATATGCACCATGAAACTTCCCGTCGTTTCTGCAGTAACTTTTATCGTGAACTTAAAACTTTTGACATGATAAATAATTCAATTGTGTCCCAACACTTAGACGCTGTCATTTTCTTGAATGAAATTAATACTCGGCAAGCATCATCTATTACCACCGGCTAAATAGAGCAGGCAAAAGTCACTTATTTGTATAACAAATCTAATGATAAAAACATTAAAAAGGGATTTGACGCAAACTTTTGAATAGTAACCAAGATGAACACTTTCCATATTACAAATTAATAGGACTTTCAATTGTCTGTACTTCAGCAGCTGCTGCGACAGGCAGGCAGACGCAACAACCATTTAAGTTCGAAACTGATATGCACGGCAACCTAATAAAGGGATGTTTTATAAATGGGCAGTCTGTGTACGTATTTATAATAACAATCTTCTTCTCGCTGGAGGATACGTAGTAAAACGACAGCTTTTGTAAGTGGGAAAAGCAATACATGTATTTTTTTCGCGCAGGCCGGTTTAACCAAATTAATTTACCCAAGATAAAACGACTAGTAATTAATTTGAAGTTTTTTCGCAAATATTCGTTTTATGTGAATATGATTCACGCGCAACATTTTTGGCCGACTTCCCTGCGGCAACCATTGTGAAGATTTTACCCAAACTAGCAACGAACTGGAAAGGTGAAAAAAAACTTTGGACTCACCATGTGTTAAAAGCCTGTATAACGCTGTTCAAACATTGTGGGTCTGGTTAATAGCTGAGATAACAGAAATATCCTTGCGTTCTGTAATCTACATCTACCAGTTATCACATCTACACTTCCTTATTCACAGATAGTATCATTAACTGACTTGTTTTGCAACTTATTTTGTGGGCGTAGAACACATTGTAGTAATGGTATACTCGTAGGTTTGTGAGCGTGGCTGCAGCACTGAAAACGTGACACATGTACTGTGAATAAGTTTTGGGCAGAAACGATCCACAAAACGAACGCATTGACCACGACTCTTTAAGCCCCGCAATGGAGAAGAACTTGCAATGGTGGACCGAGGTTGCAGTTATCATAACAGTATTCATCATAGGGCTTGTAGGAAACATATTTGTTCTTATCATAGTTAACGAGAGAAACGCTAGGAAGACAATTCATGGAACATTTGTTACAAGTCTCGCCATTGCAGATTTGGTTTTGCTGTGTTCGGACTCGTCTGTTTCTATTTTACAACACTTCAGCCTTACGTCTGAAACATACAACTGCAGAGTACATCTGACTGTTGTTACAACCGGATACAATGCAGGACTTTTCACCATCACATCCATGGCGATCTATCGGTGCCATGTTGTAACAAATCCTTGGAGGCCAAAGCTAAAACGGAGAGGTGCAGTAATATGGGTGTCTTTCGTGTGGCTGGCAGCCTTTATTTTTGTTATTCCACTCATTGTTGTTGGTAAAATAACAAAAGATGGCAAATGTAAAGAAGATTGGCCTTCCCTTGCTCATCGCCAGGCATACACCGTCTCACTCCTCACAGCACAGTATATTTTACCGCTGCTGATTACAGTAATTTGTTACATACGAATATGGCTTTTTATGAGAAATCGATCGGTGTTTCCGAGAAACAGCAATTTATTCACTAACAGACGGATCCCAGGAGAAGAAAATACAAGAGAGAGTGTGATAATACTGAAAACCGTGGCAGTAATTGTGTTCTTGTTTTTGGTGTTGTTGTTGCCTAATCAAGTCGCGTGGATGCTGTTGGATTTCAGAAATGTTTCCTATGAAGAACTTTGGTTTGTTGCAGATATATTTACAAGGCTCCATAGCTGTCTAAACCCAGTCGTTTATGGGGTGATGAATAAACAGTACCGTCATAGTTACGTCACGTTTTTAACACGCATCCTGTGCTACGTTCACGTGTCACGTGTCGCGCAGGCGCCAACATAGGATAAAAGATAAAGATGAAAGATACATAGTTTATTTACAATCGCTTTGCTACTAGAAATTGAATTACACGCTTATTACAAAAGATGATATCAATAGTAGCATTAAATAGAACTATCAGTGGTTTAAAGCAAGTTTTTACGAAAATTTGTTTTTACATCTGTTTTGGTTATAGATGAAATATGTCGATTAAATCTAAAATTCTATCAAAATAGGTTTAGGCTTTAAGGGCATTAAAAGTGATAAAACTGTTAAGAAATCTTTTTGTCTTGAACACGCGCTTAAACTTTCGTTTATTTTTAAGGTTCAAAGTACTTGTGTTAAGAGCAGGAAGAAGGTCATTGAGCTTATTCTCTTCGCTCTGAATAATTTTATTGGGTAGTTTGTCAAATAATTCCTGAC